TTGAAGCGTAGCGTGCTGAGGCAATTGAAATTCTTATCACCAGGCGGCTTTCAGCTCCCCTTTGTAGAGTACCAATCGAGTACTCTGAATCGTTAACCACCCCTTCTAAACACATGGCGTAATAGTTGTCAACAGGGCCCCATCTAGTGTGAGGTTCATTGCCAGGCCACAATTTTGAAGCGTAGCGTGCTGAGGCGATCGCAATTGTTATCACCAGACGTCTTTCAGCTTTCCCTTAGTAGAATACAGATCGAGTACTCTGAATTGTTAGCCGCCCTTTCTGAACATATGGAGTAACAGTTGTCAACAGGGCCCCATCAAGTCTGAGACCCATCATTAGGCCACAATTTTGAAGCATAGCATGCTGAGGTGATTGAAATTGTTATCACCGGACGGCTTTCAGCTCTCCCTTAGTAGAATACCAATCGAGTACTTTGAATCGTTAGCCACCCTTTCTAAACACACGGAGTAATAGTTATCAACAGGGTCTCATCAAGTTAGAGGCCCACGGGAAGGTTTTTAGCTCTCCCATGGTAGAGTACCTAGTACTTAAAATCCTTACCCGCTTTTTCCAAACACACAGGAACACGCTGCAATATTTCAAGTTAAGAACCGGTCAAACGTACATGCAGTATATCGACAAAAGCATTCGCCTTCGCATACGAAAGTGACTATGACTAATCTTGCGTAGCAATCCAACCGCCCGAACGCCATTTGATGCTATGTATTCAACGTCTGCGTTTCAGACATAGAGCGGTCATACAAGGTATTTTATCTGCTCTACTTGCGAAATATTTTCTAGATGATGGCAAACCGAAACATGAATGGGGTCTCTCAAAGGAAATAGAAATATGGAGCATTTGCTGACATTTAGGTGCAGGTGTATTTGATCAAGCCACCCTTCTTGAGCTGATAAGTATGACTGTAGTACCTGGTAAGACTGTGAATATTGTCGGCTGCAGAAACAAAAGCGATGTCATCCGCATAAACATATGTGTGTACATCCTGACGTCGTGAGATAGAACTCATTAGGACATTAAATAAAACTGGAGAAAGGACTGCCCCTTGCGGAACACTTTTTGTTTGTGCGTATGTAGATGAAGAAATACCACTTTAGTAACAATAGAACGTTTTATTTCGCGAGAATTCCACAATCCATGCCTGAATGTACTTTGGGAAGTTCATGTTTAACAGCTGATTAACTAAAGCTACATGGTCAACGCTGTCATACGCTTTTGCTATGTCCAACATTACTAATGCGGCATACTTTCTTTCATGCCGAGCTAATTGAATGTGACTCTCAAAATCTGTATGGTCCTGCCATATCGAGCACTCTGATCTGAAGCCAATTTGATGCGGGTTTTGAATTTTTTCTCAATAATAAAATTTATAAGAATGTTTTAAACTTTTTGAATCGATTTCAGAAAACTTGCGGTTAGTGCAATGGGCCTAATGTTGTCCAGTTCATAGTCTTTATCCGGTTTTTTCAGCAAAGCTATCACCTTAGCTATTTTCCAAGCTGAAGAGAGTCATGCCATTCTTTTTGAGTAGGTGATAACATCTAATAACAACTCTTGAGATTCCTAATTTAGTATTTTCAATATGGCCGACGTGACGTCAGACCCGGAGTCACTGATGGAACGCTATCTACTACCTCTGTTAATTCTGACTTGTAAATTTCTACGAAGTAGTCACTTGGGGCATGCTTTGGCAGGGAGAATAACTCCATGGGAAGGAAAGCGCTGCTCTAACCCCTTACCAATGATATATAACGAATATTTTATTTCTCCCAGAGCCAATATAATAGACTCTGTGCTCATGGTATCAATTTCCTTTCATGAAGAAATCTGTAAAGTGTGCATTTATTCTTTGACTTAGATACTCGAATGTCCAAATGTCGTAATTTTCTTTTGCTGGTGAAACTGTTCTTTTAAAAGCTCCAGCATAAAACTGGTAGTCCTTTCAGTGTTGAGGGCACTGATTGTGCAACAGTTTTTTCCACGCCGCCTTTCTACGCCTGTACTCCCTGGAACATTCATCATTCTACCACGGTGTATTACCGTTCTGCTTCATGGTTAGATCATAAATTCAGATTTTTTGTGGGAACACTTTAGAACTGAACAGATGCTCATGTTTTGCCTTTGTGCTTGTATCTGCTATAGAAGTTAGTAACGAAAGCAAACACTCTACATTTAGTATAACTTATACATGTATGTGCATTGGAAACTACTGCGACTAGCGGACTTATTATTTATTAAGTAATCGGCATGTGATTGCCATTTGTTGCACAGTTAACCACGAACCAACCCGAGATGTTGAGTCTGGAGCTTGAAAATGTCAGATCCAGAGAAGAATATGTTTGGCCTCTCAGGTGCGTTGGGCAACCTGAATTCAAACATGTAAAAGATTACCATCTTGGTACCAGTCACACAAATGTGTGCCGCATGCATCAGTTTTTTAAACCCCCGTGTGACATGATGGGTATTGAAATCTCTTGCTAATGAAACATTTCTTCCACACATGCCGATTAGGGTGTCCGATGGCCGGGTGTCATGTACACCTGAAGCATTAGTTATTGAAAACATCTGACAGGAAGGCAGAGTTATCTTTATAACTAAAGTTACATAATCCAGGGACAGCAGTTTACCTTTGCTTTATGACAAAGTCTATTTGATAACAGTGTAATTACTCCACGACCTCTCGAAGAGTGGTCTAAGCTAATGGTACGGTAATTCTTGATATAAAAATTGTTATTTCGATTAAGCCAAGATTTTTGCAACAAAATTAAATCATGATTTAGCTGAGAACTGAGGCAGTGTAAATCAGTAATTGCAGCAAATATCGAACGACCATTCCACTGCAAAACTGAGATGCTATTTTGATGAAGTAATCGTTCCAGAGACAACTTTCTCCAGAATATTCTCCTTCAAAGATTTACTGGCCGGACGGACGGACGGAAAAACTTTATTTAAAAAAAAGGAAACCCTGCAGGGTTACCGGCCCGGGCTCAGGCCACCCCGACGTTTTGCGCGGTGAGGTGTAGCCTTTCCACCACTGTCCGGGCCCGCTGGATTGCCCACAGTTGGTCGTGCAGATCTGAGCTAGCCAGCGCACTCAGCCAACGCTCCTCGAGAAGGTCTGGTTTTATATTGTCCTCTCGGTATATTACTGTGACCTGTGTGCATTGCCATAGAATATGTGCCCTATCTGCGTGTTCGTGCTTACAGAGGGTACAGCTTGTTTGCGGGTATTGTCTGGAATTTACTCAGTTCAGGTGTACTGGATTTGAAAAGGTTCTGGTTTGCAATCTTTGCCAATCTGTTTCTTTTGATCTGTCTAGCTGTTTGTGTGGTGACGGATATTCTTCTCGTTGTCACTTATAATGTGCCAATATGTCATGATACGTGACCAGTCTGTCTCTGTCGTATTGTATCGCATATTCATCATTGTCATCACCTCCATCGTCCCCATCGCCTCCACCGGAGTTGTCCCCCCTTCTGTGGTGGGTGCGGGGGGCCGGTCCGTCGCTATCCGAGTCGTGGTGGGTTAGTTCTCGCACGGTTCGGTGGGCCGGTGGGTTAGTTCTCGCACGGTTCGTTGAGGTTTTGAGGGATGGTTGTGTCTTCGATGTTTAATTCCCCTATGTGCGCCGGGATCCACTTGAGGTATTTGGGTACAATTTTGCCGTTGTGGAAGTCTTCTGCTCTGCGGTTCAGGATTTTGGCTGCTTCGGTGGAGACCCACCCCTTTGTGAAATTCCTAATGGCCATCTTGGAGTCACTGATTATTAATCTGTCGTGTTTTCGACCATTGACTACGGCCAGTGCAATGGCCATTTCTTCCGCTGCCTCCGACGATCTGGTCTTTACGGAGCCCGCGGTCAAGGTCTTCCCTTTTGTGTCTATGACCGCCATTGCGAAGAAGGAGCCATGCGCAACCCTATTATTGATATTATTATTTCGGGAATACCGGGCGGCGTCTACAAAAAGCACACCCTCCCGCGTGCCGTGGTTTTTAAGGATCATTTTCGTGCGGCTTTTTCGTGTCTCAACGTTGTGTGCAGGGTGCATATTTTTGGGGATGTTTTCCGTAATTATCGCGGACCGGACGCCCGGGTGAATCTGCGCCTTGGGACCTTTCATTCCGTGGTAATTAATGAAGATCTTTTCCATGATTTCTCTACCCGCTATGGTTCCAAACAATCGTTCGAGTTGCGCTATCTTTTTGTGCTTCAGCGATCTCGTCCAGCCTGTTATGTACTCCGAGTTGTAGCAGCCTTTCGTTCTTTGTGTATTGCGGTAGATCCAGCGCAGCTCTGTATGCTTTTCTAATCAGCGCATAGACTTTGTCTTTCTCGGCTTTGTTCCAGTGGACGAACGCCGCTACGTACGCGACATGGCTGATCGCGAAGGCCTGGACGAGTCGTATAACGTTTCTTTCTTTAATGCCCCTTCGTTTATTGGATACTCTTTGTATTAGCCTAACGGCCGCCATGACTTTCTTTTCCAGGCGCGTACTGCCCGGACTCTTTTTTGATTTAGCCTGTGGGGACGCAGTGTCAGTTAACACGGTTGAGGGGGGACCGGCTACGTTTCTGAGCACAGGCATCAATTCCCACATCAGTAGAAACGTTGAAGCGAAGCACGCCGATGAGCATTCGGAGAAGCCATGGCTGTTATCAGAGGCGTGCACCTTATCACCTATTGTATTTACTTCACTGGCCATTGGCAGCTTATCCGACTCGAGAGGACCAGTTGGTTTTGGTGTTATAAGCTTAGCAATTTGATTACTTAAAACTTGAGCAATACACTCGGAAATGCCGTCAACAAGTTGATCCATCACCCTGGCCATAGTTATTCCTATATCTACCTCGACTGCCTGTGCAATGATCGTCTCCATGAACGTTTGACGTGGCTGTAACTGCCAGCATAACCATATACGCTCTTTCCCTAATTATTGCCATCGCCTCCCGTCCTAGAGCATCTCTTTTTGTCAATGACTTCCAGAACTTGCATTTATTGTTGTCTGAATTGGACAATCTCAATAGTTGGCAACATTTTGTCCACCACTACAAACAACACGTCATCCTTGTGCCGTACATTCGCAATTTGCATGATGTTCCCCACATCTGCTACATCGCCCCTCCAACTTGCAGGCCACCAACACTACGACCGAAATTTCCAGCAGTTCTTGCGTTGTAATAGACAAGACACCCGCTGATCTGCTCTAAACACTAATGGCCACGCTTTATTCCCAGAAGGACAGGAAGTGCCAGAAAATGTCACAATCACTGACTCTGTCGGGATGCGCTTGTCATTCACAACTCGATTGCATCGATAAACCGCCACCACGCCTGCCACAGAAAGCTTCTCAAGAGCTTCAGCTGGCCTCAGTTGCGTGTTTACACCTCGTACGATGCCTTCAGTGCAAGCCGGATGGGTGGTGGAATCAATACAAAGAATGAACATTTCAGAAGATCTCTTACATAGTCCTGGTCTGGCGATCTGCATACTATCCTACTGCGACCAAATGCCACACATCACTTATGCTCTGGTAGTTTGGGAACACTGCATGCAGGTGTTCTTGAATGGCCTTGTGATAATTTAATTTAATGAAGTGACCAACCAGAGCGACGGGAATGCTGCTCACACCACTGCGGAGAAACACGTCAAAAGGAAGGTCACCATGCTGCAGAGAGGCCGTCCACGGGGAACGGTCCTGACCAGGAGAATTCCTGGACACCAGTGCACCTTCAAATACAGCCAAACAAGAAAAAGAAGCTGGTCAAGCTTCAAATGAAAAAAAAAAAAAGCCCCAAATCTTAAAGAACAGGAAGACTACCTGGTATTTAGCCAACCAGCAAAGGCCCACTCCAAGATCCCAGACGTTGGAATAAAGCATATGCACGTGCGACACGATTAACACATATACAAATAGAACAGGGGCTATTCGCACGACTGCACTTTTACAGTGACCTTGTATGTACAGCTGCAGCCACGTATCACTCTGCGGTGCGACACCTTGCAGCCATTGAGAGTTGTGACGCCATGTGCACAGGAACATGCACGGCCTTACAGACATGCAGGCCTGCTCTGCACGGGCGACACTGTTAGAAAGTGTGCTTATTCAACAAAACATCCACGCGCATTCAGGGCGCTTTCATCATATCTATTTCATAAGACGAAGCGTATTTCAACTGATAGCACATATGTTAAGTACAAGCCACCATCCTCATGACGAAGCCTACCGTTGACCTCTTATTTATACCGACACACCATCTCAGTTCAACTCGTCCTGCCTTAACCCCACTCCCAACTTTCTTGATCTAAGGGTCGGTGCTGCACAAGATTTATAACATAAACGACCCACATAACATATAAACGATAACGCATAAACACTGCACTCTTTGTGGCCGTATAGATTTTTTTTATGCAGCTGTCGGCATTATCGTATCTTCATATAATCGCATGCCTCAAAACAGCCACAAAGCGTCCATCGGAAGCAGGCACCTTTGATCAGTCTAAATGCACTCCAAGGAAGCATTATCATGCAGGAAAGTTCATCCACACATAAAAAACTCGCAGTCATATGATCTACGCAGAAACGTAAATAGTAAATGAAAGGCAAGGGTTCACCAGGAGTTGCATAAGTGTGGCGGTTTTGTGACTGTGACTGGTTGGCACATGTCTCCAAGGGGTCTGGTAACTTTGGTCGTGCCACTTTGCAGTTCTTACCATTTTGGCAGCACCGGTACTGACAGAACTAGGGTCTACTGGGATGCTTCATTCAGCCAATAAGACTGCTTCTCCTTACATTGCATAACTGTAATAATAAGATTACGAGGCACGCCATAGTAGAGGGCTCCAGAAATTTCGTACCGTCTGGCACACGCACTGACATCGTACAGTACACAGGAGGTATCACCGTACCTCCCATTGCCATGTCAGCTTGGTATATCAAGTACTGTACCCAATCTGCTACTTCTGGTCTGCTAAAATATCCATGACATCAAAACTGCTACAGAAACAGCAGTGAAATAAATATAATCACATGAAAGTAGACATTTTAACTGCAACTTGCAGACACACAACCATTTGCTGCATGTAGTCTTCGCCTATTCAGCAGGAACTACTTGCCAAATCTGGGCACATTTTATCACCGTCATTCTCAACCAATCACCACATTCATCCTCAGTGCAAATTTTTGCGAGCTTACGAAAGCTGGCATTCTATAGGCTTTCTCCTGAATTCTGCAGTGTCATCATGGCAATGAAAATGCACCATAGCATTCAAAACGCTATGGGGCCTTTCAAGTGTGAGTCTAGTTTACAGTGCTCCTGGGTAAGAGTCCTCAGGCAAACTATTCTTTAAGACTTCAAGTGACCGAGCAACTTTTCAGATTGAACAGTGAGACAGTGCATTAAAAATTCACACAATAATAAGCGATGATAGCACAAGTGAGCAAGCGGAGTCATGTCACACGATTCTTCAAACATTCTTTTCATGGCATTGGCTGTGCAGGTCTTTATTACACTGACCCTTGCAGGGATGTCTCAGTCCCCAGGAATACCACTTGCTTCTTGAGTAATTAGGTAAAATCAAGTCTTCCAAATCAACCTATCAAAGAATGCTTGCTCTACCTGTAATAAACTTGACACAAATAGGACACTTTCATAAGACGAAAACGCCATGCTTTCCTTCGATTAAAAGTTATACAGCTTTACGCATTGAAATTGTACCTGGCTATGAAGCATGCAAGAAGGGAATTGGTTCTGACCAACTCGAATGTTCTGAAGTAGCACTCAATGCCGAAATAACATGCGCTTTAGCATGTTGTGCCTACTGAAACGCAGCCGCTGCAACTCTGATTCAGTTCTGTGACCTGATGGAAAGCTACAAGTCATCCATGCTATTCTAACAGGCCATGTATGTGCATTGTCCTATCACCTCTTTGTGTCTGTTCATTAACTGTAGGCTTTCTGATGAACGTGCATGTACTAATCCGTCAATTCAACCTGTTGAGCTCTATTTGAACTGAACACCTGGCAGTCGACGGCAAGTGCAGACATTAGACTTGACTGAATGGGCCCCTGTTCACGTTACATGGATTGGTCGTCTACACTGTCTATGTGAAAGCCAACAAAATCTTCACATAACATACTTTCCTCACATCCAAAAAATTGGCTAAACACCATTTGCATCTTAGGTATTTCTTTACAGCAGGTCACTCGGCGAGGTTGTGCCATCTCCACGATGCAGCCGATGCGCCTCACCTACAGAGATGTCTTCACGACAAAAAATGAGACCTCTTTCAATTGTTATCGCACATAGTATATCAAATTGTTCTGGGATGACATCATTTTAAGAATACATTATTCATAAAAGAAATGAGCACTCGGAAACGAAGAACATATCAGTCTGTCAGTCAGTCCCGCTGACACGATGCGAGTTGGTGCCACGGTGTGGACGGAGTGCTGTTCAGTGGGGCGAAGCCTGCTGCTGCTGTTGCTGCTGTGGCAGGCTTTGTCCCTTGAAGCGCACCAACGCATGAACCCGTCCACCCGCTGCATGGAATGCCAGAATGCCAGACACCAACAGCAAGAGGTAGATAGGCACCAGGGAGGCAACGTAGTAGCCGGCAGGGTTCAGCAGCGTCTGCACAAGAGATGTTCAGTGGTTGCAGTTAAAGAGGGTCATTACGTGGACATAGAAAAAGACGCAACAGTTTATCATTGTATCTGACAGCAGAGGAGAGGTTATGATTATGCGCACAATTGAAACTGAGGTGCCATTACAATAGAAAATGATACTGAACAAAAGTTTTGCCACCAAAATTTTCAGTCAGACTGAAAGATTGAATGCTAATATCGGGAGAAACAAGCCTTAATGGACGAATGAAAGAACTTTATTATAATAATGTCCATTATGTAGCGCTAGTGTCCTAGCCTAAACTGGGCCACTCCCACATTAGGACCGAAAGACCTAGCCTTCAGCTGCTTCACAGGCCAGTTGGACTGCCCATAATTGTCCCTCTAATGTACGACTGCGTAAAAGATGCGTCCCACCATTTTTTAGTATTTTTGCTGTCACTGTGTAATGCGGAGCAACTCCAGAGTTTATAAAGCCAATTTAGTGTGTTTTTCATCAACTGCTGCATTTAGCGCCCATGCTGTAAACTACAGGAGGTCACGTTTGGTGACATTATCCACCCCTGGAAACACTGCTCCCAGATCGGACAACCCCTAAAGGGCGAGGCTCGTCTAAGTGAGTTTGCAGAAGGGGGAGAACGTAAATGTGAAAGAGAGGTCGAGAAAGGAAAGTAGCAGGGCAGGAACAGATGCACCCTATATTCGCTACGGGAGCAAGCGACGCCCCTGTTAATGCTGGCATGCAGCCGCTGTGCTCACACCCCTCCAATAATACACTGAAACTTCATTATATAACCAATTTGAATTTTATGAAAAATTTTCAGTTTGTTATATCCTAAAATTTGCTATGAAGGTATATCTATTGCAAGACTATTATTAATTTACTTTGTTATAACCGATACTTTGTTATATCTGGGCTTGTTGTATCAAGGTTTGAGTGTACAGTTAAAAAATACCTCAAATACACTCTGTTTACCAGAATAATCCCAAGTTCCGGGCAGAATTTCGATGTCATTTCTTTCGATATTAAGGTGCAGTTCTTCAGCGTCCTGCGTTGAATGGCATCACTGTTGCTGCCCAGCGCTAGCACAATTGATAGAGCGAATGCGGAGTCTCTCAAGATAACGAGCCACTGGCCTCGAACTTCGCTTTCTTCTAATTTCATACCAGCTGGCCCCTTGGTCGGAGCTCATACTCATGTAAGGGCTGGCACGCACACTGCGGTTGGCTTTGCTTGTCGTAACTGGGCTGTCGGCGTTTCAATTGGTTTCTGAGGGCTGCCATGCACACAGTGGTGTGTGCAGCCGCTGGCACTTCCTGTGGCAGTATGTAATTAATGTTAGACTGCTACAACTGCGGATAGCCAATATTTGGAGCACAGACGGTGCTGCCCCAACATGAAGCTGCACTCAGAATTCACCTTAGGCAGTATCGTAAGTGTCGGTAAAGTTTTCGTTATGTATCACTTTAAACACAAAATTTGAAATTGAGATAGTTTTGTAAGCTTTGCTCGTTCAAATATTTTCAGTATTTTAGCGTGGTTGTGGTAGCGCCAAAACATGTGGGGCCGTTGGTGTATCGTTTTCACTGCGAAATAATTTGAGCAATATGACGAATACATTTTTTGCCTTGTACACTCTGGCATCCAATGGCATATTAAGACGTGAAAGTTGGGCTAGTTGGTGTTTTATGCTTGGGAAGTAAAAACAGCGCAAAAATGTCATGTCTTCCACAGTCCATGGCTATATTTTAACGCGCTAATGTTAAAGATCTCGTTTCGCGGAAATTCCGGCGTCGGTGTTGGCGTCATTGGTTTTGAGCGAAAAATCATCATCTTTGCGTGACCCAGAACTCGAGAAAGATGCAAATAAAAAAATTCTGGCTGCCATTAGGGATCGAACCCAGGTCGCTGTCGGCAAGCGGGTGTTCCACCACACAGCCATGTCTCTGCTGGTGAACAAGCACAGTGAAAATAACTTCCCCTGTTTAGAAATGCAGGGAAAGTAACTTTCATGGTTTACAAACACATGTGTCCTAAAAACTAAAACTACTATGTACTATTCACTAAAACTAGACTCGCTTGCTGGATTCCGTGCCGACCAATTGTGCCCTCGCGATCTCCGGCGTCAGTGTAGCTCTGGCCGACTGGGCTTGCCCTACGTCATCTCCTGACGCAGACGACCTTCGACGACAGTGTAGCTCTGACCGACTGGACTCGCTCTACGCCATCTACTGACGCCGACAAGAGCTCTCGCAAGTGGTGCCCCCGTCCTCGGGCTCCTGTGACCGTATTTCCATCTTTCCTATCTTCCTATCCCCTCGATTTGTCGTCGCTCTCTTTGGCTTACCACCTCACGCCTCTTCCTCTTTTCTACACCTTTACTCCTACCCTTTTAATCCCTCCTCACCCCCATCCCTTGTGAGCTACTGTTGAGGTGTCGCTCGCTGAAGCAGACAGTTACGGGGCTCACTTCTCTCTTCCTTTCTCTCTTAAGAACCACTTAGTAGTCACTAAAACTACTACTTTACAAGACGCTGATTTGTCTGAAGCTTCAATATGCGGCATCACTCTGGGATTGAAGCCAAGTCAACCTGTCACATAAAGTTAAATTAGTTCAGAATAACGCGGCCCGTTACATACTATCCGATTATAACCGTATCTCCAGTGTCACACACATGAAATTGAGGCTTAACCTACTATCTCCAGCGTCTCGCCGTAAAGTTCTTCATCTGTGTCTCTTCCATAAAATATTCTATCACTCTGAACTACACAGTGAATTCATTCAAGCACCTCATTACATTTCTGCTCGTTCAGACCACTCAAATAAAGTCAGGATACCCCATGCACGGACTAACGCCTTCTCACAGTCATTTTTCCCGCAGACAGCCACAGACTGGAACCACCTTCCCGACTCTACTACCTGTATACAAAACCAAGTATTGTTCAAAAACACCTTAGCTAATATTGTGAATTATGATTATTACTTACCTGCCTCTAATTACTGTTCACTGTACTTATTTGCTTTGTTACGTAGCAAACATTGTATAATTAGGAAATGTTTAGTGCTCTATATTGCCTCTAACTTAACTCACTGTATTTGTGTATTACCCACTCCCCTTTGTAACGCCTTTGGGCCCCGAGGGTATAAATAAATAAATAAATAAATAAAAAAATACACGTACTTCACAATACAACATAAAATATTGCCCTAATATTGCGCGGAACAAGCGTACATTGCCATGGGACGTCAAAACACAAGATTACCATAATTATTTCATAGTTTAAAGCCATTCACTCACAACAAAAGGCACAAACGCTACTGCACTATCAGGGCCACGTAGTGGGTGCACAGCAAGTTCGAATAGGTTTTATACACTAAGTCTTCGAAGTACGCACTAGGAACAGAATATTACTATGGCATTCAACTCTTGAAGGCGAAGCTTAAGGATCCCCCAATTTTCTTTTTGCACTGTTTTTACTTACCAAGCATATTAAGAGTGTCAGCATTTCGTTGCATTACTGCCACAATTATTTCATTCGTGCGACTGAAACAACACAAGCTGAAATACACCGCAGGAAGACTGCTGAGAGATGCGTGTGAAGACAAAACCCTCTATATGCTTTGTGCATCGACAATGCAGGACTTACCTTGCGTCAGTGCTCCTAGAGTCCTTTACCGACAAAATGTGCGACACACAATAGTGACAGTAATTTGTAAGCTAGTGCAAATAGTGAACTTTAGGCTCGAAGTGAATTCGTAGCGAATAACGATTTTGGTTGAATAATTTCGAATCGAATTCGCATAGTACATATGACATATGAAGAAAAAAGGGCATATTTATTATGACCCAATTAATGTGCACAAAACTTTTTAAAAATTGAAATAGGGCCTCTTGCAAATGCCACTTTTTTTTCTGTTCAAAAGAAGTCAAAACAACCTTGAGTAGTAGCAGGATTTGACTTTCGGCCAGATGCGAGTCATAACCCTTATAATATGTAACACTTTAAGTTTATTATACTCGGAGCATATAAGCCGTCATAACAAGCTTTACAGCTTAATAAAATGAATTATGTTAGGATAATATTCCTATTTAAAGAGGCCGTGTGACACTTTTTCAAGGAGCCATGGAATTGATTCACTAAAGAAGCTTATTGCCTGATGAACTTAAAGCCCCCAAAATTTTTTGAATCCTTCCAGTATGCGCGAAGCTGGAAAGATTTGTCACACGCTGCAAGTGAATTCTTTGTTCTTGTCCCAACGAAAGTGCTGGATGCTAAGCCGGGAGGGATAGCACGAGAAAAGAAAATACGTCACGCGTGCTTTCTGAGCTTGAGAAGTCATTTGCCGAGAGAAGAGTGCAATTTTCAGCTGACTTTGAGAATCTGTTGTATATTGCACGCCACATGCTGCATTATAATGTCTGGCTTGCGTGTCTTCGGTAGCCTCGACTACCAATCGGCAGCGTTTTCTTACAATGCTCAAAAAGTGTTGCAGGGCCCCTTTAAATTTGAAGGAGGGCTTCGCAGCAAAACAGATTTCTGCTAAATAGGTGCCTTCACGGTTTAGCACCCCTACACAGCAGCGAAACCACCTTTACAAGCGGTACATTCAGAACTATTTTTATACTTCCAAATTTTCAATAACTTAAATTCGAATCGAAGCGAGTTCGAATACCCGACTATTCGTTAAAATATTCGAAGCATTCGAATATTCACACAAGCATAGTAATTAGTAATATAGAAGTTTTCTAATGTCCCAATTGCACTCAAGTTTTACCAGCTTCTGCTTGCTGAGGCACCCATTGAGATTATTAGCCCATTCGCTGCAAAAGCCGGCAGATTGATGAGGCAACTGCAGCGGCAATTTTGCCAAGGGCGGTGATACGCTGGGCTTCTGCATTTACCATAAAATCCCAGCCAAGTGCCCCCTACCCCTCTTCCGGAGATTTGGAATATGCACCAATGAACAAACAGGTGCCCCCTCCGCTAACCGCCACCATTTTTTTCAACCGGTTCTACACCACAGAATGCTGCAGAAGTGATTCCTAGCAATGTGAGCGCTGAGATTCTGTAGATATGTGTTCAAATCCATAGTACTTTTTTCTTTAAATATGTGCCCAATTTCATGTTACTTTTTACAGTGCGGTGTCTCGTCATTGCATTTTGAGTTGTCACAAACATTTGCGAAACATCGTTTTCTCCTTGTCATAAGGCATTAAATTTCACGCGAAGATCCCCTTAGGTATACTAAATAGTAAACGAACCCCGATTAGACGACTTTCAGGGGACAACACAAAACAAATCGTCCGGCAGCATATACCGTATTTACTCGCATAATCGGCGCACTCGCATAATCGGCGCACTCGCATAATAGGCGCACCCCTAGTTTGGTCGCGGAAAATTCGATTTTTTTTAATTCCGCTTATAATAGGCGCACTCCGAACTTGGCCGTGATCAGAAACGATTCTACCCCCCAGCGGTACAGTTGGAACGCGGTCCCCGTGGCCTGAAGAAAAAAAGAAGGCAAATCGACGAGCAAATAAAAAAAATTCGAAGTGCAACGACCTAACCAACGAGTTTGTCGAAATAAAACTTGAAAAAAAAAGCGTCCATGAGCAAAAAAAAAAAAAAAACGGCTGTTCCATCAATTACTGATACCCCCCAAATCGCCGCGCTTTTTAGAGGTCACGTGTACAACGCCGGGGGCTCGATCGCCATCACCACCATCAGAGAAAAAGAAAGAAACGCCATTTTGCAAGCGGTGTGCGTATGTTGTGGTCGTGTATTGAACTTTGGTTCCACCATGAATGTGTGATCTCCGACTGTGTGACGAATGTGTGATCTCCGACTCGGACTCCGAATAGGGAAAAGGAGGAACAGCTACGACTTTTGTGTAAATAAATTTTATGTGTGTGTGTGCAGTTGACGGCTCTCGCTTGTTCATTAAAAGGTACGTAGGTATGTTTGTTTTATGCTGAATTAATTGGTAAACGATAAAGTCGCCTTTTACTTGACAAGTGTGCAGATTTAAAGCGCGAGAACTGAGTTGAAAAAATTTTCGAAAATTTTACCCCGCGTAATTGGCGCACCCCTAATTTCGAGCCGGATTTTCTGAAAAAAAAGTGCACCTATTATGCGAGTAAATACGGTAATCGAAAAACTAAAATACAGGCAGCGACACTCAGCCTTGTAAAAAAAAAAAGCGTGATTATAGTGTTCCTTATAAAAGAAAAGTTGTCCCGCCGCGATGGTCTAGTGGCTAAGGTACTCGGCTGCTGACCCGCAGGGCGCGGGTTCGAATCCTGGCTGCGGGGGCTGCATTTCCGATGGAGGCGGAAATGTTGTAGGCCCGTGTGCTCAGATTTGGGTGCATGTTAAAGAACCCCAGGTGGTCTAAATTTCCGGATCCCTCCACTACAGCGTCTCTCATAATCATATAGTGGTTTTGGGACGTTAAACCCCACATATATATATATAAAAGAAAAGTTGTCCTAGTCTAGTCGCGGAGTCATCGTCCAATGTTCAAACCAGGCGGGACTTTGGAGTGGATGAAAAAAAATGTGTGCCGCTGCAGAGGCTGCAGCGTGATAGAACATCCCAGGAACTCTGATTGTGCGCTCTTTTAAGAAGTCCGGCATATTCAATTTGCTTCATAAAATCGAGGATTGCGCACTGTTTGAAGACAGCGACGGGGGACGCAGTGCCGGTGACTTTGAGCATGGCATGGGCAAGCGCAGCATTTTTGTGATGCAAATAACTAGAAACAGCGCGAAAAAAACGATGACAAAAAACACACACACAACAGGTGTCGCGGCAATATGTTCATCAAGTTATTTGCATCATGAATCAATTGCTTGGTTTCATCTTCATGTTTAATAAATGTTTTCTGTTTGTGAACTTTGTCTTCGCTGTTTCGTTCAGCCTACATTTGAGGAGGAGGGGAAGAACTTCATTCCGAATTCCGGCGAGTTGGTGGGGTGGGCCAATGGCCCCGCCTATGTTACGGCCAGGAGTCCCTGAATGCTGGGGGCTTCCTTGGCCCACTGGACAGCCTACATCTAATCTATTCTGATACTATTCTGAGACTGTGTACGACAGTCTACACTCTACACGAGAGCTTGCACCTGCAACGGCTTCTGGAAGATTGACGTAATTCCGGCTCTCTGCTTTGATGAAGTACACTATCCTTCCTCACTCATTCCCACTGTGAAAGCAACGTAACATTCGCCATTTAACACTTCGATGCTCCCCAAAAGCAGTCGGCAGCAATCACTCTTAAGCTATGCTTCGAAACCGTCGCACTTGAGTGCATTTGAGCGTGTTCCCTTGGAGTTCTTAGAGCGCCAATGGACATGTGGTAGCAATGGAGTGTGAGTGACTGCACTCCCAGCCGATACTACCGTATTTACTCGCATAGTCCTGGCACTTTTTTTGCCGGAAAACCGATGAAAAGTTGGGGGGTGCGAGAATTACGCGGGGAAACCTTCTACAAAAACGTACAGAGCGAAAAAGAAAACGAAGTGGCTGCAAATCGGGATTCTCACACCAGCAACTAACAGCAGGCTTTAAGAAGTATTAATTAAAACTTACCTCAACAATAAAAGCAGAAGTCCAACACAAGACAAGATTTAATTCAGACACAAAAAGTGGAAGCAAATAGTCGAGAATTAGAATACCATACGCAAAGCTTGCGGACGTTGCAGGCGTAGCGGTAGCATTCGTCGCTTAACAGGAGCCCTCAAAAGGTAAGCGTGGGACTTCAGTATTGGGCTGATAGCTATTTAACAGAATTGTCCGCAGTTTCCTTCTTAAGAAATAAATACCAGTTTTAGGCACACGGCAGGCCCAACGCGTCTTAGTGGCTTTCAGCAGCCATCACCAGTAGCGAACACAAAACTCGTAGACTCCGAAGGGCCTACCGGCGGCTCTGTTGCCGTTCTTTAGTGCATTATCTATCACTTGCAACTTGAAAGCAGCCATACAGCTTCAGTATCGCCTCATAACTTGACAAGGTTACCGACGCAACATACAAAACACGCCGCAACGCGCACTGGCCACTTCGGCTTGGCTTGAATTGGATTGAATCTCCTTGCAATAGTACACTTGATGCTTAAGAGATGGCGCCAGATGATGTGGGCTATCATCATCAGTGGCTGGAAAGAGCAGACGGCATTATTGCAGCAGTTTTCGGGGGTGCGATAATTACTCGAAGAAAAAAAAGAAATCGTACTTTTGTTGGGCGATGTGGGGGGCGCGAGAATTGTGCGAGTGCGAGGATTACTTGAGTAAATACGGTACTTTTGCTAGCACTGGTAGTAATGTTTTCTGCCACTGACACGGTGTGTACAATCTCCATGTGCGCGATGAACGCTGCCTCCGAGACTCGCATCAAGTTGAATGTTGCCAGCTGTCTAATGAGAGTCGGCTAAATAGGTATTAAAATTGGTATGGTTTGTTGATCACATTTCATAAATCAAAGAAAAAAAAGTTTTGCAACTAAAACAGTTTTCATGATGACAAATACCAATTCAAATTTAGCATTCAGGAAAGTTGAGGTTTTCGAAGGACTGGTTCAATATTCGATGTTTTTAAGGGCCTTGAAAGCAGATTTTGGATTTTCAAGGTTATTCGAGAATTTCAAGGACCTGTGCGCACTTCAATGTCATGGCAAACATAGGAACACACTCTCAGCTCTAGAGCTTAGGAGAATACAACTGAGTGAGTACACAAATTTTCATATGGGATTTCCAGGCAATGAAGCTACCAAGGTCAACATCGTCAGTACCCTGATACGCTTGAAGATTAAGGTAACCTGAGAGAAATCAACTCGGATGGCTCAAGAGAAACCGCTCAATAACTTCCATCTTCATGCACGTCGGTAGGAAGCACTTACCAGGCACGAGGCGACTAGATGTGCGATGCCGACGAAGGCCACCAGGGGCCAGCGGCCATGGTCCAAGGCGTGGAAGGACACCACCCCCCAGAAGGTATGCAGAAGCACGAACGCGCTTGTCGTCAATGCTGCACATGCAAATATGCACCACAGTTCACTTCAGCACAAGTGATTAGCCACTTCTTGCATGCTATGTAAGTGTACTTGCAGAGCGAGCCTGTCACCGTCACAAATGCTAGTGATCATCATGCTTCACTCATGCACTCAAGTAAAGCCACTTGACTGAACGCCAACTTGACTGAAGGTTGAATTATTTTTAGCAAATATAAAAGACATGATTTGACAATACAAATTATGCAACTTAATGACATCCAAGACATTAGAATCTCGAAGGAAAATTAACCGGTTAACGTTTCTACAGAAAATTCTTTCTGGTAAAGTTACAATAAGTTTGCCCAACTGTGTGAAACGTCTATGTTCTAGAAAAAACAAGACATAACCACACGTATTCACTGGCACCTGTTTTTGCTCGTACTACTGCTTTCAAAAATAGTTTTTTCCCTAGGACTATTGCCGACTGAAACTCTTTACCAATAAGTGATTTTCAATCCGAAGATATTGAAAAACAACTTGAAGCTTTTTTGTCTAGTTTAGTTTTGAATTATGTATGAATATGACGTGTTGGCAGTGGCCGAGTGAATTATTTATAGACTTTTGATGCGTATGTTCAATGTTTACCTGCCGTAACACTGCTGGCTAAGAGCCCTATAAGTCATCCGATTATGTGATGTGACAGTGTCTAACTTTCTACTTTTTGTAGTTGTTGCCTCTCCTGCTAGAGCCAAAGTATAAGCCTGCAGAAGTTGTAAATAAATAAACAAACAAACTGTGCAGAAAATATACTCTGACAAAATCAGCTTTAATACATTAAAGGGACACTAAAGGCAAGTATTAAATCGATGTTCCTTGTTGAAATAGCGGTCCGGAAACCACATAGTACTTTGGGCCAAGGAAGTGCTTATTTTTAAATGAAATCACGTTTTAGTGGTCCACATCGGGTTAGCGCAATTCAAATTACCCGCCTCAAGCAAGACGTCTCACGTCACTGTTGCCGTGCACAATGTTGCCTGGCTTTACTGTGCAGCCACCGACACTAGTAGCAGAAGAACGAAAGCAGCCGGAGCCACTGCAGCAACAACGGCCATTGAATAATTTCCTGCCATTGGCTCCGAGATGGCAGACGTGCTTGGTTCAACTGGGCCCCGCTAGATGGCATGGCCTGCCCAGTTTAACCAGGTGAAAATTGAACTTTTGAACCACTTTCATCATTCACCATAGTAACGTTTGGCAGTTATTTTTTCATGAATGAAACAGAATCAACCAAGCAGCATGTTATTACGTATCTTAATGCACGGAAATCCTTTATTTTGTGCAGCTAGTTCAATTAGTAGTGATTAAATGACAGCTGTAACTTTTTTGTAAATGACTTTCTCTGTAAGTAAGGCACTGCTGTTGATAATATGGTCTCTTTAGACATTGTAGTTGTAGTATCGTGCGTCGAACATGACGCACGGTGAACACGGGGCATGGCATGAAGCGCGAGCCGTCAAAAAGTATGCAGCAGCCGGTAACCAAGCACAAACTGATTTATTATATACAATATCGTGCAAATATTCACAGGGTAGTGCCCCTAAGGGCGAAAATACTTTGCATCAAACCGAACCGAAACACACCACAGTAGTATACATTGAGCTTTCACTCTCACGTAAACTATTATTTGACTTTAGTGTCCCTTTAAACTAGCACTTAACAGATACATTAAAGTATTACTGCAAATGAAAAATAGCCACTGTTGCAAGTGCACCTCATATAGTTGCGATGCATAAGAGTATGTTTGCCCACTACAGCAGACTCTACATATGGAATCTGAAAAGACAAAAAAAAAAACACACCAAATATACAAGATTGTGAGTTGACTACAATGTAGGTTGACTACCCTTACAATCCCACAGCCAAAAAAAAAAAGGAGCATGAGCACATTTCATGAATAAAATTTATTTACGATTCCTAGGAAGTTGAATTCCGATGTAGCAACGTAATTCACAGCAGTGCTTCAAAGATGTGCAGAAAAGCTAGCCTTACAGGAAGACGTTAGGAATCATTTTTTGAAAGATTTTACAATTAAAACTAGATCTTTATTCTGGGTCAACCCCTATCCTTCGGCTTTCAAATTAAGAAAAAATAGATCAATCTACAATCATGTAAATATGGTATGTTCCATTGAAGAGGGCAGCTAAGAAAATGCCACTGAAGCAGGCTAACAAGTAGAGTGGAACTTTGTTATGATGCGGCAATTTTTTTTAAAAGACCGAAGCTCTAGAAGATCGACGTAAAAAACCCATTGTGCCATTGCTCATCAGCCCCGCCCACTGACACGAATAGCCCGTGCCCCCACTGCATTGAGTTTCCCGGCACGGCGCAAGGCGAGTACGAGCGACAGTCTTCGTTTCTAGAAGGGCTGCCACAGCCCACTTTGCACTTAAGTTCTGGTACTGTACTTTGGACATTCTCGCATAGTTTGAGACAGGCTGTGGATCGACTCTACTTTGTCTACACCAAGGAAGGACCTAGCTCAAGCCAAGAAAGCCACGTTGAGCCTGTAGGATCAACAAGTCCTGTCCACGCTCGCCACTTTTACACAGCTAGTGAAAACTTCTCCCTTAACTTACTTTAGGCCAATGTCCCTTGGAAATTATGCACTGTCATGCATTTAATATGATCACATCTTTGCGAAAAAAATGAATAGTACTACCCAAAAAACAGGTCTTGACCAATATATCAAGAAATCTTACATTCATTCTTAAATACACAAGCTTAAGCCACGTTTATACAAAACAAGTCGCAATTTGCACATTACATAATCGCAGAGGACACATCAGCGTTTGTTTGGCAGCGAAAAGATTGCTACCAACAGCAAGCGATGCACTCGAACACACTTCGTAGCTTTGTTGTGAATGCACAGCTAACTTCAGCATCTGTTTTTTACTTTCAACATGAAAGTGGTTTATGCTGGGGTCTACCTCGTCTTTTCTGACTTACTTCCATTATGAATATGACGTGGTAAAATATATGCAACAAATTGCAAAGAAAAAAAAAAACGATAATCAATAGCTCGGCCACAGGGTGTCGAACCAGCGACCTCTTGAACAGTAGCTTGTGGCGCTAACCACTACGCCACAGTGCGCATGTAGTCAAGAGTGCTAACCGCAAGCCATGTATATAGACCATATACCATTTAGCGGTCCTCAGAGCTCCTCAGATTCAGCCTATTTTCATCATCAGTATCAAGATGAGGCCCCGACGAGCACACGTTGGGCCCGCCATCTCCTATCGTGTTTCGGAGAGCGTTGTCTCCACGAAGCGTGGCCTGCATTGCGCGCGTGCTTATTAGACTCTTGTTTCGAGAGAGCATGAAGGTCACTTTGCTCGCTGCCGCGGTCACATTTATGAAAGGTGCATGCTGCACACACCCAAAGAAGCGAGCATTGTGACAGTTGTTCGCGCTTGTCCTATGTATATTTGTGCATTTGTTTCGTACACCTTTCTTTCTGTTTATACAGCGCACTTTAAGTGTTGAGCTGTGACAATTGTTAGCCCACGCTCCGAACATGCTTTGTGATCGAGGTGCGCACTGCAAGTTCTGAGCTGCTGCTGCTTGCTGTTCTTTGAGTGAATTTGCAATTTGTTGCTGTAGCATTGATTCCTTCGGCATTGTGGCGAAACATTGCAATATAAACATTCAACTACCTCTCTGAAGACATGTCTCACTTTCGTGTTTTACCGATTTATAGCAAGCGAGATCAGTTAGATTTTTAAAAAGAATTTACTCCCTTACGCGTTGAGAAAAATGAAGTGTAGCATGAATTAAACCAGCTACTTCAGTATTGCTCAATAAAAGTGAATTCCTGCTGGTGTATGCACGTCTTCCTCTTATTTTTAACTTCCTTGGTTAAGGGGAGATGCGGGTCGACGCAAGTTTTCTTCTAAATTATTGTTTTTTTTTTATTTTTGCCTGTTTTGATAAGGTTAGTACCTCTACTGCTATGAACAAAAAAATACATGTCACGACTTAACTGGAAACGCTTTAAAATTGCGTCTAAAGAGCACAAGGTGCCTGTCAAAAGGCCCAAAGTGTGCAGTCTTCAAGCCCCTTACACCGATGATGCGCCGCCGCTCGCCATTGTATCGCATGAGGAAGAGTAGAGCCTCACTCTTCAAATAACGACAGTTTCCCTCCTGAAGCAGCCCAAAAAATAATAAAAAGAAGCACGCTTCTGCGCGTTTTTCAAGCGCCGCGACTGGCTTATCACGTAGTACAGATCGGGGACTGCCATTGGCCACTGCGCGCCTGTATGTGCTGTGAAGCCTACTTGCGGGGTCTATGTCTTGTTGAGCAGCGCAACTGAACAATGCTTTTCTCGTGTATTTATCTGCATTATGAATGAAAAAAGCCATTGCTCACGCGTGAAAGCCATTGTGCGGCGCGCTCTGTAGGAATAGGCTACGAGCAGCTGGTTCGATTTGTGGCAGTTGTTGGCTTGCAAAAGCCAATGCCAATCCAAAGCAAAAGCCAATGCCAAAAGCCAATGAAAAGTGATTCACCGCCATCAGCCGGAAAGTTCGTGATGGGGCAATAGATGACGTTAGCGCCAGTCTTGCCAGGTCGAAGGAGCTCACAGTGAGGGAACTTAGTGGGGACGACAATGCCATTATGTAAGATGGTATGTGGCACAAACGTGGCCGCAAGATGGCATCGGCACTGTTGTGTCACTTGACATTGGACTTAGTTTAGATTTTGCAGTCCAGTTGAACTTCTTCCTAGCTTGCAGTGGGTGCAAGGCTCTGCCAGATGGAGCGGAAGAAGTTTGGCAAGCGTTTCATGGCCCTGTCTGTGAGCGAAATGTCTGTGAGGAGTCGGCTCGAAAAAGCCGAGAGGGACAAACTCACGGTGCTGGCATATTTTAGTGGCAGTGGCCACAACAAAAAGACAGTTCTTTTTGGTGAACAAATTTTATCCGATTTATTATCTTTCATAGACAAAAACTCAATTTTAACATTAAAACTAGTTTTTCTCGAAACAAAAGTTTTGCCATTTTTTTCAATAGCGCTAATAAATTTTTTCGAGAGATTTTTCGGACGAATTCGCCCTTGAAAGTTGGATTTTTCGGACTAAATCGCTCGTTTTTAGCCGTGCCATGAACCTGTATGGCCGCCGGCTTGACTAAGCTTAGTGGTTTAACTTTAAAATGGCTTTCCTGCCTCCGAAATTGGAAAGCAAACGTCATATTTCAAGTTTCAGAGGCCGTGTCTGCTTTAAAAAACGCAGCACTCGACCATTTTTTTCGTCTTCGGTCACGCATAGTGGTCAGCACTGTCGTCATCGCATCGTACAGGGAAAAGGCGGAGCTGTGCTGTGGTGCAGTGAATGTGCCTGCCACGATGACATTAGGGAGTTTTAGAACAGCGCACCGCGAGCCCTTGCGGTGCGGTCGCTGCTACTGCGCATGTGTTGCAACGCGAGTCGCCGTTCGCGGCCTGCCCGCAGAAAATCCAAAAAAACTTGCGGCGATCACGGCCCGTCAAGTGTTGTGCGAAGCTTCCGTGGATTTTAGTTTACGGTCGGGGCAAAAGTCCCTAGACTTTTCCCTAAGAGGAGCAAACGCCATTCTAAAACTTATAATGCGTCCGCTATTCGCAACTTTCAGTGACTATAGGGGGCGCGACAAAAAAACGAAAATGGCTGTCGATGCGGTGATCCCCTGCCTGCGCGGAGCCTTCGCCACAGGTGTTCTCACTGCGTGGCTGCCACCCCTTTCGGCTAGGATAATTTTCCGCGGCATTTAAATTGCCATGAAGGAAGCAGCTCATGCTAGAGTGCATAATTTGTGGGACACGCGGGGTGATCTTTCACCAATACGACGTCCGACGCGCTCGTGCAGCTCGGTTCGGTGACGTTCTGTCACACTGCATTGCCGAATCGGGCATCCAGCGTGCGTCAAACTCTGCAGATTTTTGTCATCCACTCAGTCCGACAATCGCGCGGGCATATATCAACAATGGTGAACCACACAGGAGACTGGTGACATAGGGCGGCTTGTGCTGCTGGTCCTTTCTTTACCACTCTGATCAACTTCATCGAAGGTGCCGGCTTCATGCCAGCGAAGATGGGTTACAATTGTTTCATTACACAAATTAATGCTTAACCCTATAAACTTGTGCTACAATATGTCACTTATTCAAAACAGCGCCTGCTTACAAGCTACGAGCAAGCTTGGGGACCGCGACAATGCTTGGACATTTCGCAGGTAAACATGCGGCAGTGCAGGCACTCTCGTCCAACCGGATTCTCTGCTGCGATCTTCATATTGATGTTGTGGAGGAAAAGTGCTTGCATGTCTCGACACAGGCATAAGACTAGAAATGTCTATCACCCTGATGAAATTTGAGCACCCTAAACAGGCTCGCGCTCGATTGCAGACTGTGGCGATGTCTGCCCAACATGCTGCGCAACCGACACAAGCTGCTCGCATGTGCCAGTTGTGGCGAGCTGTTACGTGTTTATCACTCGCTGAAAGCATATTTGTATTTAGCGTGTTGTTGTAACTCTCCTTCCCCACTTCCCGTCAATAAAACATAAAGAAGGCACTCGCCTATTGCGTCAGGATTACGCACCATCGTATAGCACAGCACGCTAAGTGCAGTGCTGCAGAGTTCGGTGGCACGGGCTAGATTGTCAGCTACGGTGGTGGAATTTCGATAGGGTTAAATACAAAAGAACGAACAGGTGCTGAAATTTAAGAGCACTTTAAAGCACCCCAAGTGGTCGAAATGAATCTCGAAGTCCTTAATACACCGTCTCATCACTCATCGTATTGTGGTTTTTGTAAACAAAATCTAAGCAGTTGTGTTGCGTCCCAGAAGTGGCCACAATATTATTGTGACAAGTTTCAAGATGTGCAGCTCGATAGCCCACGGCTTTTCCGTCCCCATCCGAAAAGAAAACCAAACACACTTATTGCACTTTTCACGGTGTAGTTTGACCTATGCAGTCCACAGCACACGCGATTGCTGTTGTATTATTTGCCCATTATAGAAGTTGAAAGGTTCTACAACCTTACACGAACATAATTTATCGTACATTTCCCACGCGCGCAAGAAGTCTGACAGAATGATGACGAAGTACGACTGGTACGTTGTCGCCAGGGAAGTTTTCATTCTATCACAGCTTTCGCCAGTTGCTGTATGGCGGCGTCACCATAGCTGACAGTTGCGAATACCAGTAACGCCCGCAGCACCTGCAAACGTATTCTAAAACTCCCTATTTAAAGACTCCTCTTGTGTGGACGATAACAATTTTGTGCGCTGAGCCCACAGGCGAGGAAATTCTTTTCCAGGTTGTGCCGCAGCCAGAGAGCGGTTCGAATGATGATGACGATGACCGCCCGCAGCTGTTGGCGGCGGAGATCGCCACCGCGGTGACGCTTTTGTCGAGCATTTACAGTGAGATGCCACCTTGGCGCAAATACAGGTGAACCAAGTTGCTTCCAAGCGTAGTATGAGGCAAGGCAGAATCATGGACTTTTTTAAGCCTGCCTGATTCAATAATGTTCATATTTCTGACAAAATCAAATTTTTCGAACTGTTAGATTTTTCTGACTCTTTTTCGGTCCCCGCCATGTCCAAAAAATCGGTCAGCGACTGTATTTATTCATATTTTCAAGACAAGGTCTTGCTCACTGTCAGAACACAAGTAGGCGGTTAGCCATCTGACGTGGTCATGCATAAGCATGGGCATATATTGGAATGAATATCACAATATCACTACAAACTGAAATGGTATAAAATGAATGAACAAAAATGCATCTGACTGCATGTAACCAATGTAAAGGTGCTATCACCCCCTCTGACGTAGTTTGCACCTCGTGGCTCACAAGTGTCTCGTGGACAGGCCGCATATTGGGTCAAGAGCCGCCAAGTGAAAGGTGGCGCCGTGCTTGCGCAGGTTGTGGGCGGACTCCTCGTGATAAGTTGAGTGTCGGCAACCCCGCATTTGCAGAAGCTTGATATGTTGCTTGAGGGTTGTATTGGGAATGTTGAATAAGTTTGTTTAGCGGGTCACTAGTATTTGATTTGGCTGGCGATATTGTCGCTGCAAATGTAGATAAATAAATGTACACATTTGTTAGGTTTGGTTCTACCCCATCTGCGTGTTCATGTCCTCCGACAGTGCGGCGGTCTTTCCAGATAACACACCTCATGGAAAAGTGGTTTCACACGGGGCTGTTATGCTGTAAAAGCACTCATCTTGGGAAAATGTGCACTGCAATGAAGCCACACTTTCAGGTTAAATGTAGATAATACCTGCGTATCGATTAATTATATTTTGAAGTTGAAAAGCATGTTGTAAGTTTTGCAAGTTTTAAAGCCCAACAAGTTTTACTGCTTATAATTTGCACCTTGTGAACAATTCAGAGTCTGCCACTATTTGATTTTGTTTCCGCTTTGAACCAAGAAAAGTGACTTCGCACATGCCTTTTTCCAGTTCTTTTTTTAGTTGGGTCATGACAAAAAAGCTCATTTTTAAAAAATGATATGCAATTCATTATCCAAACTTTTTGATTAGATATTATTTGACCAAACCACTATTTGCTCAACACTGATTCGAAACCTCAAACTTACTACTCGTTTATCCCTTGTCAAACAGCCACATCCACATCCAAAGTTGAACACTGACTTCAGTACTTTTCACATTTTCTTAGCTGTCTCGGCTAATGCGGTAGAAGAGAGAAAGTGAGAAAAAAAGGAGGTTGCTACCTGATGTGAGGAAGAAACAGGATGACCCGCCGTTCAGTCCCACTGTGCCGGGACCAATAGCATCAGCCAGCACGTTGAGCAGCGAGAACACGCCACTCATCACCCCAAAGCCCAGGCCGGACACTGCAGACACACAGGATTGAATAAGTGACATCAATGACCAGCGGCAGTCGGAAAGCAACGGATGTGTATCACAGAGTAATTATTTCACACCGGCTTTGGCCCAGAGTTCTTCAATGATACAAAATGCTTATTCCCCCTCCCAAGGCCCCACATACCAAAATCCAAACACGCCATTGGCTTAAATTGTGGGGGTCTACTGATCGTCCTGTCATCTACTAAAAAAAAAAAAGAACAAACTAATAAACACGTCTGACGATGCCAGCACTGCGTACGGCACTAAACAGCTTGCAAGAACTGCACACAAGGCACTGCCGCGGCTATCTAGTGTTTTGCATTTCTTCTCCCAGATGGTGCAAAAATCTGTAGGCTCCCGCAGAATCGCTTATGGGCATTTGGTTTCAAAATGCAGTTTTAAAAATGATACGATTACAGAACTATGGCTTTGATTAGTCGACCGATTCGTGAGCCTTAACATAATGTGGAAACAATGCATGGGCTGTGAGAGATGCCCTAGAGGAGGATAACGAATAAGGTTCGGCAACCGGTGGCTCCTCAACATGCATCAAAGACTTGGTACATGAGCTCCTCTGTGAAAAAAAATCCAGCTTGCTACAGCTTTCTTGCACGACTAAAACGCTAGCCAAGCATCCAAAAATACACAGTAAAGACAAAATACTGAAACAGACAATGCAATATAGTGCGATTTTCCAACTGCGGACAGTGAAAAACTTGTCTACACACACTGCCATCGATTTGTGCACTCTCCACCGGAGCCCTCCTTTAATTTCACAAAGGCTGCCAAATTTAACCCTGTATCATATTTGATACATTGAATATGATATCTCAATGACGCTACTAAAAGCTACTATAGGTGTCACAATAAGTAGCTATTGCAGATTTGACATGTTATGAAGAAGGTAAAGTGACTTACACATTATATGATAATTATTTCCAATGAGTACTAAGTAGGTTATGCCTCAAACCGAATTTCATTTATATTTCATTTAAAGTGAACTGTACAAGAAGAGCAAAAAGAGCCAGCATTTTCTCGCAATTTTTCTGAAGGCATAATTGTTCCTGGGTATGGAATACAATGGAAAAACTTTATTTCAGTCTTGCAGGACGCGCTTAGCGGGCGTCTCCCACGTAGGGACCGACAGGGAGTACCTGATGGCCGCTTCGTGGGCCTGCTGGACGGCCCATTGCTGGTCGGCGAGAAGTGAACTCCTGAGGGACCTCTCGCACTTGCTTGAGGTAGAGTCGGGAGGAGTTGTTCTACACTCCCAGAGCATGTGTGCGAGTGTCGCTGTGTGTCCACATGATGGGCATGTCTCACTGGGGTATGCATGAGGATAATAAACGTGAAGCGTGGCAAGGTTTGAGTACATGTGTGTCCATAACAGGCCTAGGGTTAATGCCTGCGGTCTGTTAAGTTTCGGATGTAGGTGTGAAAAAATGCGGCGTTTCAGGTAAAAGTGCTTTGTTATGTCATTGTACGTAATGGGTGCATCCCGATTGGTATCTAACTCAGCAAGATGGGGTTGCCCTGTGACGGTGCGGTCAGTAAGTGCGTGCGCTGCATCATGGGCGATCTCGTTGAGGTTGGATAGGGCACCCGGCACCTGGCCGAGATGGGCGGAAAACCAGATGACAGTGTGGTGCTTCGGGGCACTTGGGCCCGCTTTGCGCAGGATACGTAACGCCTGGTCGGAGATGACTCCGCGTTCGAAGGCTTTGATGGCCGGCCTGGAGTCGCTGTAGATGAATTCCCGTTTGCTGTTAAGCATAGCTATAGCTATAGCTACTTGCTCCGCTACTTCGGGGTTTCAGGTGAGGATTGTGGCAGAGTTAAGAGTCTGCTGTGTGGATGATACCGCGACCGCGGCGAAGGCTTGGTTGTTGTGATAGGCAGCGGCATCCACAAACGAGACGTTGTCCGCTTCCATGTCTATGCGCTTGAGAATGGCGGTCGCCCGTGCAAGGCGCCTGCCTCTGTTGTATTCGGGGTGTACATTTCGTGGAATGGGAGTGATCGTGATAAGGTCGCGGATTTCACGGGGAATTAGAGTCAACTCTGGGGGGTCCCTGGCCCTCGAGGAGAAGAAGGCGAACTCGCGCAGAATATGGCGGCCCGCCTTGGTGGTGGTTAGTTGGGTCAAATGCACGCGTTCCTGAGCTTCGGCGATCTCTTGTAGCGTGTTATGTACGCCAAGCTCGAGGAGTTTGTACGTTGGAGTGGTGACAGGGAGGCCAAGGGCTCGTTTGACTACCTTGCGAATAAGCGCATTCCTGGGTATTACAGGGTAAAAGATATCGTAAAATCTTCGTACATTCACCTGTCAATCTGTTGCACAAACGACAACCACATCACATTCTAAATACAGTCAAACCCCTTTATAGGAGACACTGATGTAACAGACACCAGTGGGCCTACACTGAAACAGGGGTTGATAGAAAAATGTAGCCGTGGCACCCTCCTTATTAAAGACGAAAAAATTGCCCCCTGTGCATATCTTTTGTAAAGGAGTTAAACTGTGGATGCAAACTGGCAGCAGTTTTTTTTTTTTTATTTCTGATCATCCTAAAACAGAAGCAGGTCCTAGAAATTGCAGAACTGTAAGCAAGACCTCCCACTAGAACAGTCTACTCTCAATACAATGGACCATGATAATTTGGTGAAATAAGAGCGTTCTATCTGAAGTCTGTAATATCCATACCTCGTGGCGAGAGGGGGGGAAGGGGGCGTGCGTGCGCCGTGTGACGATTCTGATCAGTGTTATGGGACAGGCTAGGTCTGCTGGTTGCATTCGCCTGCATGGTTACACAAGACTTCAATTACTAGCAGCGACTATTAACAAAATTGCAGCGCAGTGCCGTTACAATGCAGGAATGCCATGTGGCACCTGCACAGCAGCAGAGCTTAGCCCGCAAATAAAATGCTTTTTCATCGGTTCCTGTTGATTGGCTTCGAATTAATTCTCTTTTGTGCAGATGTGAAGACATATCTGCTGAAGTAGGGCCGCATATTGCCGGAAGCGGTTTTACAGCAATACTCATCTGCTCGGAGCACCGGAACATCTTGCTTTCAAATCATGGTCGCGGTACCTAACAATGTTACTGCAATGAGCGAAAAACATGTATTGCAAAGCACAAGAACTTTTTATTAACAACTACTTTGAAAAAAAGTTAGTGATCAATGATTGACGAGCATCCTTGAGCAATAATGTTATCACTTTGCACCACATTTCACTCAGCTGCAACACTTCAAGACTGCAGTCGTCTTGCTCCAGCTGGAGGTATGCCTTCAATTCATCAATGTGGTCAATCACCTGCTGTGAAGTCAGCTTTACTGCAGGGGACTCGTCTCCTTGCTAGCTATCGTCTGATGACAGCTCAGAGCGGCTTCGATCGTCGCTCTCACTTCCTCGTCAGTCAGATCCTCATTGAGATGATGCTGTCGTCAAATGTGATGAAGTTGGAGAAGCTGTCTCTCCGAATGGCTCCCTGACTTGAGGCCACACCGACGGGTCTGATATTTCATCTGGGATACACGACTCTTCATCTGCACTGTCATCGGCGCTGCCATCATTTTGTTGAAAACCTGCTTTCCTGAAGCAATTTTTAATTACTGTACCTTCGACTTGCTACGAAACGCTCGCCAACACTTCCACAGGAAGTCTGACGTCTATATTCGATGCCCAATTATTCTGCATGTCATTGAGTAGGCGTTCGACAAGGCAAGTACAATAGGCAGCCTTCACGGAATGCACAACTCTTTGGTCAATTAGCTGGAGTACCAAGGTCGCATTTGGCGGAAAGTAGGCCAGCTCAATTGCTTCCATCTGGGGTGGCTTCATGTGGCTGGAGCCAGTCCAGAAAGAGTAACACCATTCTATTTTGCTTTATCATCTCCCGGTCAAACTGCAATAGCCAGGTGTTGAAGATGTCCTTCGTCATCTATGCCTTTGTATTAGCAGTTCACTCAACTGGCATGTACTTTACGTGCTGCAAGGCACGAGGCTGCTTGGCTTTCCCTATTGCACACAGTTTTCTCTTCTCGGTGCCAGTCATGTCAAAACAAAATAACACGGACAAACGATCCTTGGAGCCCTTACCACCGTGACAGTTACTGCCGGAAGCCATGTAGGTCCTACTCGGCTTGGCCTTATAAAATAAACCACTTTCATCTGCATTAAATACATCCTTATGACTGTATCTGGCAAGAAGCACTGGTAGCTTGTTGGTTGGCCATTCGGTGATGGCGTCGACACTCACGTTGTTGCGATCACCACATACTTGCATGAACGCGACGCCGTGCCTTGCCTTGAAGCACTCCAGCCATCGGTTGCTGAAAGTGACGCCATCGTGTCCGAGGACCTTAGCTAGTTGTACGGCTTGTTTCCTTAGCAAGAATTCGTTCACCAAAATATCGCAAGATTGGGCATTACGCAGCCACACGAGTAGTGCCGACTTAACGTCCAGGTATGTTGCCTCGCGGAGCCTGAAGCACTTGAAATTAATTTACCCTGACACTTGCTTGCCAGCAATACTCTTTATTAATCACAATTGAACTCATGGTCTGCTTGGACAGTCCCATTGTTTTTGTGATGTCCGCCTGTTTCTTGCCGTGTGCAACCGCATTCACTATCTTGAGCATGTCATTCAACAAAATTTGCTTCCGCTTTCAGAAGACCATTATGTCGAAATGAGCGAATAGACAGAACAGTCAAGCACAGGAACACAACGACAAAATGGCGTCAACTAGCTACGTCCGTGCATAACGTCGCTATGGTGGCTAAAAGGAGAGGTATCAGCATCGGCGCGCCGGAGAGCGCGCGAGAATTCATTCGGATGCGGCGGCGCTGTGGTCGTTTTCGAGATGCCCCTCTTCTTCACACGTATCAGTCGTTTTTCGTTGCAAATATTTCACGCTACCCTGTGGATTGTAACAAAGTCTACCTGTCACAATTCCGGCGGCGCGCTGCAAAGCGTGTATTGGCACTGAAAACTAGTGTTTTCAATTCAATTCGTAGTATATCAGCTACGAAGCTTAGAATATAGAGAATGAAGCGACTTGCCGTGAACTTGACACTAAAGCAAAGTCCGTGCAGTTTTCAAATTTGATGCCGCAGTGTTCTCCGTGAAGTCTTAATGCACGTAAAGGTATCCGCAACCATTATTTTTATGACTCGTGCAATCAAGGTCTAATTTTACCAGCAAGACATTTATTTTCTCGAAAGTGAAAAACAACATGAAAATAAACACAGCATATGCATTAGGGTGAAGAGAACTGCAAGTTATATGAAACTCAGCTAAAGCAAGTAAATAAGGCTACTAAAGAGAACAGTAAATATATGATGATACATTGGTCATACATACACACATGACATTGAGATTTCATTGGCAAACACAGATACAGTCACAAACCAGTTCACAAAAAAAAAAAAATTGATTTCTGCATATGTGAACACAGCCAGACAGTGATATCACAGTTGTTAATGGAGGATTCATAACAATGTGAACAAGTCAATAGTAAAATCCCAAGAAACAACAGAGTGTGAGTAATGCACAATAACATAAAATAAAACCTTGTTCGCTGAGTTATTACTGTGACAGGTAAGTCAGACGTCTCAAGTTCAAGAACTTCATTTTTTCTCTTTTTTTTTTTTGTGATTGGACGCATTTTCTCCAGCAAGAGAAAATGCATTCTGGTCTGTGCAAAGAATCTAATTATCTGATTTGTCACTTCCAGTTCGTGGTGTTCACACAGCCGACCATATTTAACCTTGTCACAGACCAGCAAGAGGTCTGTTATGCTAGCTGTCACTTTTCAACTTGTTGAAACTGAAGCAATAGGTGAGTGCATCTTCCATAGCTTTCACCAAGTCTGCTAAGGACTCGGACGGGTACAGAAAGCATGATTCTGCCGGAAGCAAGCTGGAATTCTGAGTGAAGCAGCAACCTGCTACATAGTTGCACTTCGTCTTTTTCACCATCTTCCGGGCCACATAGCCACTGACGTAATAAGTGATCTGGGAGTCACTTTTGCGTCCAATGAGATCAGTGTAGTCAGGGAGGGCTTCACAAGCAACAATAATTTCATGAACCTCATTGAGGTGCCCCACATCTAGCAGCTCATCCAGCTTATTCTGCAATTTTATCGAATTATTGTGAATGCCCGGACATAGAAGGCTGCTCGGAACTCCAGAAGGTATGGAAACTGAAGGTATGTTGCCAAACTGTAAAAACTGAGGCAAGTCACACAGATCAAAAATTGTGTCGGCGAAGGGTGATCATTCGAGCCAGACATTTGCTTCAGAATTCCAAAAAAATTTCAAGTGCGTCTTGGCAGAGGCGAGACGTCATCAAGTGTTTATAGCCCAAGGTTTTCGTGACATAGTGTCGAATGGAAAGGGTGCTGGTTAGAGTGACGTGTAGTCCTTCGGCAGTTGATCCACTCAGGAACCCAACCTCCTTAAGTACAGCTTTTTCCCAAGTTGCTAAGAACCAGTTGACAACATGCGCTATGGACGACGAATCTTTCGTCGAAATGAGCTTCGCACACAACGCAGTTCTTTGTCAGCGCGAGAAATCGTATGCTCCCAGGCCTTGCTCTGTTCATTGTCGGCGGGAGCAGAGAAGAGAAACACCTTCTTCCCTTGTTTACGGCCCGAAGCATATCCCACTTTGCATCCAGGTGCAAAGCAGTGTCTTTGCTGTTTACTCATCACTGTTGCATGGTCACATTGACACGTATTGATCCCGAACAAGTCCAAATAGGCAAAGCGCAGAGGTCGCAACTTGCTAGCACAGGAGCAAGCGACTAAACGTGCGCGCTAGCGGCTGGCAAGTGCTCACGACCGATCGCAGTGGCGACTTGCGCGCCGCGGAGCGGCGAGATGAAATACCAGCACGCCTCCTTTCAAGGCGCGGCCGTGACGACGCCGACACCTCTCCTTCTAGCCGTTATAATGTCGCCAATGTGCTTTCAGACTGGCTTGGCTGGAGGCTTGGCTAGGCCGAAAGCCACCAATGTTGCTAGCTGCAATCTAAAATTACCGTGGCTTTAGCTCGCAGAAAGCGGCGTGGTCAAATCTGTTATCAGCCCGTGTCAACGCGGCAAAAGTCTGCTATATGCGTGCAATTTTGAAAAAAAAAAATGCTGCTAATTTAGTCCACTGTAGCCGATAGTTCGTTGTATCACAGTCCGTTAAAAGCAAACTTCACTCTATTAATTTAATACACAGACAAAACTAAGGCTGAATAATGGTTCGTTATATATGAAAGTTCGTTGTACCCGGGTTCGTTATAACGAGCATAGACTGTACACTCAAACATCATTATAACAAAGTTGCATTGTCCAGAAGGATAAGTTCGTTATATCTGAAAATTGGTTATAAAGGTATATTCCTAACACTATATTTATTGCAAGACTGCTCTTCATTTACTTCGTTATGACCTATATTTTTCTATATCCGGGTTCGATGTGTAATTTCAGAATATAGTAATCAATACATTATATTTGCAATATAGCATTGGCAGACAGAAAAAGTTAACACAACAAACAAACAAGGGAGTACTGACATGAAATTTAAATATCTTCAGCTTATTGTTTAAAATAAAAACACGGCTCTCTAGAACCCTAAATGCAGTGGGAATGCGTGAAAGATATTTTTAATACGGCTACCTTAACAAACCACTTTCTGTTTCGGTATCGAAGTGGAGGCTCTGCAGTGACATGTCAGCACAAGCCTGAAATCACGGGGAGACTGCAACTCGCGCCATACAAGCACCAGCTCCGTCATTTCTCGTCAGTCGCACGTGGCTTCACGTAAACAGCGATGAGTAAATTGTTGTAGAGTGAAACTGACAACGATTTCTGTGATTTAGGCCGCCTGCAGGACGTGGACTTCACAAACCCAGTTATCTGTGTTGACTAACTGTCATAATGTTCTTTATGGTGGGGGCTAACTTGAAGCTGCTGGTTGACAAAATCTTTAAACTTAAAAGTAAAACATTTTACTCGTTTTGTCTGGCATCGGCATGCGGACACTGTTAATATTGCATATCGCGGAAATGAAACATGTCCCTCATGAAGTGCCTCAAAATCATGTCAGTACTCTTTTAAATGCAAGGTGCTTAAAACAACAGGAAGTTTCAAGAATGTGGAAGTTTCAAGAAAGTCAATAGGAATGTAACAATTGACACGTTTGAAAAACAGAGGGTATGTTGCTCCAGATTTTTTAACCCAACATTGACACCTTTTTTAATGAGAATCGGCTACCAAGTGCAGTTACGAATCAATTACCGAGTTCGGACACTTAAAGAAGCTCTGCAACACTTTTCCAAGTAATCTTTAAATGCTTTCATTAAAGTCGAAAGCCTCAATAATCAACTACTGCAAAGATTCTTAGAAGTACAAACGGAGACACATGGTTTTGCCGCGTACTTCAAGCGCTTTCTCTTTCTTTACGATGCTCAAATCAAGCAGTGACTGTGGACTTTTGGGTGTATGATGCACTCATTTGGGTTGATAGCATCATGTGTCGAGAGAAAAGCGAGTGGTTGCCAGCTTACCCCGAGAATTGACTGTAAATTCCAGGCTGCGTGCTGTGCACTGACTATTGGCTGGCATGTTCTCGGGAGCCTTTACTACAGAACGGCAGCATTTTCTAACCGAGCTGAAAAAACGACGCAGGGCCTCTTTAACCATCTGAGTGTTTTTGCTATACATGTACGGCAGCAGTTTTTTATTGCACCGCGTCTTTGCCATATGGGTACATTTTAAATCCTCTGATTAAAGTTTCGCACAGTGACGACAATGTATGCTCACTCAGAGGTGCTGCTGCCACTCAGAACTTACAAGACATGGGAATGATCGTGCTACTCTTTTTGCGGAGATAAATATAACTGATTGCTAGCGTCGTTGCATTGTGCAGCCGGTGGTGATGCTGATAGGCAAGGCCCCTATGCGGTTTCGGTTGCACCCCGTAATTGCAGCAACAGAGGTGTACGAACCTTTATTTTGTGCTTTTTATCAGTATTCCCATGACAAAATTGATTGACATATTTATTGACAGTGCTCTTAGCTTGTTTGTCACCTACACTAATAACATCCCCCTATTTAAAAAAAAAACAAAGTTTATTTTTTTTACTACATTAGCGAGACACTCTTACTGTATTTGATCACCGAGTTAACTCTGCCCAAGGTGGCCCCATGCAAAGACGATGCCATATGTTTGCCAGCCCAACTCGTCACTCCAAGATGAAAACAGAGACACGTGTTATGGGTGCAGACAGCAATAAATCCCTGTGCGTAGACTCGTGTTTCGAAGGATACCACACCCTAAAACGCTCCGCAACGATTTACAGCTCTCAGTATTGTCGACACACACACACACAAAAAAAAAAATGTTTTTCACTTTCTTTTGTATTTTTTTTCTTGACTTTCGACATGTCATGCATTAAAAAACTGCAATAAAGTTAACTTACCATCTAATACAGCTAACTTACCACCTCAATGAGTTAAAGAGTTACGCCACTCACCGTAGGAAAGCGTTGTGCGAGAACTGGACACAACAGCGCCATCTGCGCCAACCTCAGTCACCTTCTTCAGACCCAACTCGGCTTTCCTGCAAGACATCCCTTCCTGAGCGGCGGCCACAGAAAATGCTCCGCAGAATACGGTACACATATCTTAAAGGTGCACATTAAGAAGGCAGCAAAAATCAGTTATGGCTGATGATGTGTTCTTTTAAAACTCTATAACCGAAAAAATTTGGAGTAATAGGTTGACTACTAGAAGCAAAAAAAAAAGGGGGGGGGGGGGAATCAAGGTTACAGAGTTGGTTTTTAGTTTTGCAGTGAGACCTAAGACGATAGTTATAGCGCGAGAACAAAACGACGACACAGAGACAAGAAGGACAAAACGCTAACTTCCAACTGAGTTTATTGCGCAGAGCGTAAAAATATATAGAGGAGACAGTAACCATGCGACAAAAAACCATATGGCACAAAGAGTAGAACATGAGTAAGAGAAAAACAAAAAACAAAAGCACAGAAAAACGACAAAGAAAAATCTATAAGAGAACGAAACAGAAAAGTAAAGATAATAGAACTACTTGCGCGCACCGAAACCTTCGAGGAACCTTAGTTCTTTCTCAGATAGAGCCACGAAGGGCTTGCTAATGCAAGGCACCTGTTTGCGTGCCATCTGTGCGGCCTTGACAATGACTCGGGTGCGCTCATCTTTGTGCTTGTACAGCGTCGCTGTGTCTTTGAAAAGGGGCGCACAATTGCAATCAGTGCTGCTCTGAGCAAGAAAGCTACCTTTCCCGTTTCTAACATTGTTAGCATGTTCTCTCAGTCAATCCTTCAAACACCTTCCAGTCGTTCCGACATAACAAGCACCGCATGAAAGGGGGTCCTATAGACACATTCTTGGGAGCATGCCGCATACCTGTTCCTATGTTGAGTTCTGCATTCTGTTGATGACTGCGTTTTCAGGGGGTTTGTAGATTTGGTGAGGCTGATTAATTTGAACGGTGCCGAGAACAGGTCACGAATACAAACACCAGATATCACACAGGCTCAAGAAAATCAGAAAACCAGTTGGAGTTCGTGTCCTGTCCTTCTCCACGCCCTTCTCCACCAGATCGCTTTTATCCCCACCTCACCTGCTTTCACAAAAGAATTTACTTTTTTGTGGCCAATCACTGGAATTTTCGTTTCTATCACTGAAATATTTACCATAATTGACACTCCCCTCTGGGGTCTTTTGGCTAAATTAAATGAATTGAATAAAATAAAACCTTAGTACAGTTTCTACCATTTAAAGAAAGCCCATGAAACAGAAAATGAAACTACGTCACTGCACTCATGTGAAATTGTATTGCAATGCTCTAAACCATGTTTGAGTGCAACAACCGTGCATGTAGACGATGAGCGTCTCGCTTATCAGGCGTGAAAAAACTTCCCTGCGACATGCCACTATCGAACATGCTGACGCTCATACCTAGAGCTGAATCTGCTCATGTCGCCATGGTCTGCAAGCCAGTTTTTTAGCTTGAAGCGTGGTTGACAATACTGTATTACTGCTAGTGCATAAGCAAAATGACATGGTTTCGTTCCGCATTTTGTGGGCTTTATTTAAACACTACACAAAATCACCACGTAGCATGTACGTTGCCATAAAAAGCTGCATTGGTCATTTTAGAATACCCCCTACAACGTAACGAAATGCCCTTGGTTCTAAAGTGATTAAAGCTTCCACATAAGTGACCTTAGTTAATTAACTAAGCAAGTGCAATAGACAAATACTCTGACAGGCACCAGACATGGGCAAACCACGGATCATTGCTTTCTATCGGCTGCGGTTAACCACGCTTTTTTAAAATCTTCGGTTCTCGCTATGTGAGACATCGTGCCTATACATGTATGCAGCGAGATGGCTGGCGACAAGACCGGAAAATGCTGGCAGAACGATTCATTCTCTATGTTCCGCCCAAGCTTAAGTACGAGAACTGTAGCAAACAAATTGGCTTGACAGAGTGCATCATCTGTGCTTAAAATTTATAAATTTAAGACAGCCCTTGGGGCAATGACAAAAAATAATCTTTAGTACTTACGCAATCTTCGTCCTAAAGAAAAAAAGTGTGACATCAGCTGTTTCGTTGGGTTTGCAATACAAAACAACAAAAGATACTTACGAGACTGCTATTCTGAAAGAGAAATTAGGATCAGTTGTTTCATATCCTTAGGAGATTGCACAATCATAGGTGCCTGCTTTCAGAAGTGTGTGAGTTAGTGTGGGAGGAAGGTACAAATGTTACGAAACCCTGTGTTAGGCCACCCTGAAGTGGGCATGAGTTGCTTATAAGTAAACTGCGCTGTCAATACGAAAATTCGCAGGTTTGCGCGAATATTCAAATGAATATTACAGCACTCAAATTCGCTTTGATTCGAATTTAAATAATTGAAAACTTTAAAGTATTCGAGATGTATGCATAGGAGTATATCAACGCACATCTAAGCCCCTATAACGTTGGTTTCAGTGCAGTAGAGGGGTACTAAGACATGAAAGCACCTAGTTATGTAATAATAACCTGCTTGTAACTTTTCATAAAGGTGGTTTCACTGTTGTGAAGTGGTGCTAAGCCGTGAAAACACCTATTCAAAAGAAATCCACATTAACGAAAGCCCCACTTCAAGGTTAAATAAACATATCACTGTCACACCGATTCACCATTTTTTAATTGACAAGATTGTTATACCAGTCCATATGATTCAATTATAGTGAAATTCAAGACGTAACATGTTTTAGAGGTTACCACTTGCATCCTACCAACAGTCCTGTTACTTTTCAAATTGTTTACACTTCCTTTGAACAACAACAACAACAAAAAGTTAGCACCTGCTCAAGCCTTGTCTCAATTAAAAAAAATGTTGAGCAGGTTAGTTCGTCATGAAAAATTCCCTTATTTTTCTTTATGATGTGAGATGTATACTATTAGAACTCGATTCAAAATCATTCGACCACAATCACTATTTGCTTCCAAATCACTTCATATCTGAAATTCACTATTTGTACAAGCACACGAATTTGTTTTCGTGGGGCTCTTTCATTGGTCTGTGAGGCGCTCACCAATGCTTCACCATGAGGTATGTAACGTCACTGAAGTGTTCGCCGTTCTTGAGCGCTTGGATTTGACGTACCAGAATACAAGAATAAAGTTTAGGTAGTTTTGTGCACGACCTACTCTACTCCTGACCTGCCCAGAGAGCTCCTCTTCAGCGCCCACGTTCTAGTTCATACATTCTGCTGCTGGGGCCGTAACCTATGAGTGGCGTGGCGCTATTCAGCAACTGCCCACTGACATCACCTTCCCTGTTTGTCATCAAATTTCGACTAACAAAGCACTCATAGTGCGTATTTATTATGCACAATTTAAAATTATTCAGAAATAAATATATTAGGTAAGTCATTCAGGTTTTTTTTTTTTTTTTGTAATCAAATGGACACGACAACACATAGGCTGTCCTACGTAATGTAAATCTACGGGTTCCCACGTTTGTCAACCAGTGTGCTATAAATACTTAAGCACACTCCGCAGCTTGCTTGACCAGCAATCTAAGCGAAGAAATAGTCACATATATGCCGGCAGTTCACCACAGAATGCAGGGGTACTTATTCAAGCGCCGTCAAAACAACTGTAATGCAACAGACGAACAGTTTATAGGTAGCGCCACCAATGGTGAGCAGTTAAAGGAGAGCGGGGACACGCATTCCCATAGAAACCCTACTATCTGAGCAGGTCAGGAGTACAGTAGGTCATAGTTTTGTGTCTAGCACGCAACCTGAAAAAAGAGGGTGTTCCGTGTTCACAATTCACTGCAGGCCACGCGTTCTGACAAACAGCTCACAATGGGCTCAATTTTCTTTCTTTATTTATTTTTACATTTTGCATCACGATGATTCACCAAAATATATTAGTATTGTTGCCTCTCACCATACACCCTCTTGTACAATGACCATCAAGTATTATGCACAAGCTTAGCGATCTGAAACGAGCAGCCTGTGCACTTTTCATGAGCAGCCCCATGGCTATCCAAGGAATCGCTAGCCTACTGCGATTAATAACGCTCTGTTCGGGTAAGCTACAAAGTAGGCACGGGTCTCAAGCATTACTTTTTTTATGAAGCACCCTATGCAGTCACTACGAGATTAAACATCACTGTGGCACAAAAACTGTTACATTTCAGAATCGGAGTGTAGATTTCAAACGCTACCAGCATCGGCTTTTTTTCTCTAAAAATGATGTCGAATCCCCTTGATAAATGAACCATGTATGAGATACAAAAGAAGTGGGCTATCAAATGGCAACGTTAGGTGACATTTGATAGGCATAGAGCCATAGAAAGAGAGAAAGAATGAAGTGAACATATGGCTTTGTACACACCTGAGCACTCTGTAAAACAGAAAGCGGCCGGCTTCCTGGAAAGCCACCGAGCAGACGACTCCAAAGGCCAACTGCTTCCGCAGTGGCACCACCGCAAACCAAACAATAGATGACAGCAGCAGCGACAGGAGCCAGAAAAATGCCCTGCATGTTTTGTTGTTTCTTCATTAATGCACCACGCGGCGAGTAAGTCGAAAAACTCTGCACAAAGCCAAGCAATAATGTGAAAATCAAGATTGTAGTCAGGGTGCCGGTGAGTGGAGACGTGTGCGTCAGTACCTGACAACAGAGCCAGGTAGCGAACAGGACTGGGGTCAGCACACACCAACAGAGCACGCTCAGCTGGGCCCATCATTAGCTAATCAGTCTTTTCTTGAAAACCACAGGCCAGAGACCACGAGAGGGACCCTACCCCCCTTTCTTGAAGTCTGGATGCGTTATTCTCGGTGTTTTACAGAGAATAATCGATGAAAATGGGCATTATTCAAGGTCTTCAACAGGTGAGCTTCCCCTGAAAATATTTCCTGGTGACGGGCCTGTCATACTATGGTTTGTATTCTCCTGGAATCCAGTCAGCCTTAATGACCAGGGGTTATCCTGTCAACGCACTAAGTGCCCGGCCCATATCTTTTTGATTTCAACTATAATATCCTTAACCCCAGTTTGTTCCCTGACCCACTCTGCTCTTGTCCCTCAAGGCTACCCCTATCATTTTCCTTTTCATCGCTCTCTGCGTCATCTTCACTTTAAGCCCCCAGGTTTCTGTAATGCAGCTACTACAGTACACTTCTCTCTTGGCAGTTAGTGGCAGACTACCATTTCTGATTTGAGAATGGTTGATGAATGTACTGCACCCCAACCTTATTTAGTTATTTCACTCCCACTCATGGCTTATCTTATTCCACTCGCCATACCCGTGGTTTATCTCATAAGTAGGGGCGTGTGCCATATTTATAACTGTATTGGCTTATGTACTTGCCACAACATTCATTTTTGGAACATAATACACAAGCAAAATCCCTTCACACGCTGCCTGTTCATCTGAAGTGCACTAACGTGTGGTGACGTCCTTAAGCAACAGCCTAGCGGGCGGCGGGCCCAGCAGACAGTGCTTCATTGGCATGCACTTTCCCTCACCCTGCTTGCAACCTGGCCCCATCATACAGCACTGGCGCACACAGAAGTCACCACTCGCACACGCTGGTTAGACATTTGGGTGGCTGTACAGATTCTCTTTTACATAGTTACACACATACAAAGTTACACGTAATGCATTGCAGTTAGACCCCTTTGTAAAAGACATGCAGTTGGGACCAATTCTTTTCTCTTATAAAAGATGTCTTTTTAAGCAGGATACCACATGTGCATTTTCTTATCAACTCCTGTTTCAATGTGTAGGCACACCGGTGCCCCTTATACCCATTTTACTTGTAATAAATCAGATTTAATGTAAATCAGTACCAGTAACGAATTATTTCTTTCTAAAATCAGGTTGTAGCTAGTTTTCTATAGTAGTTCTCGTCTCCCCAAAAAAAAGATGTGGCTGTCTTGTAGGGAAACCTGCATCCCGTCAAATTTGAGGTCCCTACAAAGCCTATTTTTTACATTTTCCTTGATCTTGCCTGCAATGCTTTGCTCTATAGTCAGCAACAGCAAAGCGTGACTCTTTATAGAGGACACTAGCCTTGAGTCACTACGCAATCAGAAGCCGGTGTTCAAGGTCTTCTTATGTTACAATACCACCCTTTTCTCCAGCACATAAATTACGAGGGTGTTCAGTGTAGCAGTTGAACTGCTAATGAGAAAACGTGGAAGAATTAGCAACAAGAGCTTTGAAACGCGACTCCTGCTAAAAGTTAACAATGTGTAACAGTATCTTACAGAAGCCACAGTAAGTGTCCCAGCCTTCTCACTTCCATACAAGTCAAAGAAGTTCATTATAGCCTGAATAAGCTTGTGTTATTGCATTATGCTAGTGAAATTTGAAGCAACGCAAAATGCAACCCCTGAGGAAGGGACCAAATTTGTCTCGAAACGTCAGTGTCATGAACATGTCAACTGGTGATAGAAGAATGAGAAGAGGAGGAAGAAGAAACGAGAGAAAAGAGAAATATCAGTAGAAGAGAAAATAGAAAAAATAGGAAGACGAGGAAGAAAGGAAGGGCACGAGCGAGGACGTGGCCGAGACAGACGGAGGCGCGGGGGCTTGGAACGCAGACGAGGGGTCGAAGCGGCAAGACATTTGCCGGAACCCCACGAGCCCAGCTCCTAGGAAGGATGTGCCCCAGCCTTCGCAGCAACGCTCTGTGAGCGGTGGGGCGCAGGCAGGAGTTTGACCAGCTTGGCCAAGTGACCGCAGCCTTATTGTGACGCGCCAGATGGCCTGCCACGACGCTCCGTAGACAGCGCACCAAGAACGACAAGCGGTACAGCTGCTGTTGGGACCCGACGCTGCGGTGACTGGATGCTGTAGGTACCTGACGGTGCAGCTTACGGCTGGGACTAGCCATGCAACGAGCTTCGCAGACGGGACGAGCCATACGACTCGACGCCAGAGTTAATTCAAGGCTACGCACTTTGGACTCTGTAAATATGATTATCTGGTCTGTATGTAGTATGTATTTTGTAAATTAGGTTTTCCATACAGTTTCATTATCATAAACAGTTTTTCGTGTTCCTTGCTGTTCCTGTCTCGTTGAACATCTATAGAGACCACGACAAAATAGTGGCGAGCCTGCCAGGATCTTCTGATCAAGGACCCCCATGATGCCTCCACTAGAGCAATAGAGGATTGATAGTCATGTTTTTACAGAGGCTTTGGCTCAAGGTCATCTTTCATTCAACCTAGTCGAAAACACTGCCGCTGCTCAAGTGAAAATGATAATGTTCATTCGAAGAATTCTTGCCGCCAAGTTTTGCTGGTACGAAGCGACCACTTCTGCTGAGAAGCGACGCTGCAATCGACTTTCTTGAGTCAAGTAAGGAAAGCAGAGTGAGGGGTTGTTCTAGAATGTGAATGTTAAAGGGGCCCTCAAACACTTCTTCAAGTAACCTTGGAATGAATTTACTGGAAGAGCTTATTGCCTCATGAATTCAATGCCACAATAACTTTAAGAATCCGTCCAGTGTGAGTGAAGTTACAAAGGTTTGTCGCATGCTGCGATGCACTCTCTCTTCTCTTGTCCCGACGAAAGCGCTGGAAGCTAAGCAGGGAGGGATGCAAGGCCACAAAAAAATGACAGGTGCGCTTTGTGACCTTGAGCACTTTTTCTTTTTTTTTTCTTTCGAATACGTGGCTTTTTTAGTGCGATCGCGCATGCACACATGGACAATTAGCGGCCTCCTGCGGCAATCTCTGTAACGAGCGAGCATGCCATGTTCAAATCAGCCAATGGCTGTTAGATGGGTCGTTTACGTGTGATTTTCGGGCACAAAACGTGATTTGTTGAGAGAAGAGAAAGCAATCTTTAGCTTACTTTGACAAATTATTGTGAATTTCAGGCCGCGTGCTGTGCTATATTATTTGGCTCGTGTGTTGTCCGGAGCCTATATTACCGATTTGCACCGTTTTCAGATCATGCGCAAAAAGTGTTGCAGGGCCCTTTTTAGGTCTGCCAACACCAACAAGAGAAAATACAGCGAAAAAGTCACATTAAGGCAAACGTAAGAAGGCAACAGGAGACGATCCATGCTTGGAATGTTAAAAAGACAATACATGTAGATATATGCTCAACGCTACCACAGACAAACCTTTTGCCTGTGCCGAACACCTGTAGCACTATGCGCATCCTGGATGATTTTCATTCTGAATCCTCCATTTAGATTTTCCTTTTTTTTTTGCACATTTTTCTGCAGCACGAAAAAGCATTGTTGGGGGAATTAAGATGTGTTGCACTGCCCCACTAGAAGTCTATAACCTATGGTGGTGAAGTGACACCCTTCCAAACAGACTGTTCAACACAAAGAATAAAAAGCAAAGGAATGAAAAAAGAATTTGTTAACACGATTACCTAGCACTGTCTCTCAGACGCTCTAATAATCTTGACAAATTCATGTGTGAAACTCAGATTACAATTATGAGGCATGCCACGGCAGATGGCTCTGTAAAATCACATAATCTGGTTTTCTTCATCTTGCATAGACATAGCAAAGTACATGGACCTCCAGCCTTTTCCCAGCAACATGTGACAGCCGCAGCTGGGATCGCACCCACGACTTTTGTATCAGTGGCTGTGCCCCGTAACCAGTATAACACTGCAGTGAACTCACCTACTTCCTAGACATGGCCACAATGACAAGAAAAGAATGTTTCTCTGAGTCAGGATTTGTTTAGTGGGTCGTAGTTAATAAAGTGTTATTGAGGAAACATTGTGAGACATAGACATTCAAACCCATTCAGCCATAAATTCGCATGTTGAGGGTTCCAAGCCAAGCAAGAATACTGCATAATACACCTGGCATTGGCACAATGAAGCACACCTGTGTTTAGAAAACGTAGTCGTCGATTTATAGTACTTGGTACTTTACTATGGGAGAGCACAAAGCCGTCCAGTGGGCCTCTAGGTGACAAAATAGGCTACATATGGTATGCTCTGGTAATACGCACGTGTTTAGGATAAATGTGAACAATTGACGTTACTATATGGCCCCTACTATGGAAAAGCTGTACGCTATTACCAAGAGGACACAAACTACGCGAAGGGAGATGGTGTGTTTAGAAAACGTGGTTAACGCTTCAGAGTAGGAGGTACTTAACCATGGGAGAGCTGAAAGCCGCCCCATGGGCCTCACACTTGATGAGGCCACATCGACGAAAATTGGGGCTTGAGAAGGAGCAGGGTGGTGTTGCGTGAATAACGGGTATAACCAATATTTACGTACTACATGCACTCGCAAGGTATATTCAGCTTGCTTGCTCTACCTAGGGTCACAAGGAGAAAACAGCATAAATCGTCAAGCCAGACACCTCACACACAAATCGTCAGTCAGGTTTGTAATGTACGGGGGCTGAGATCGGTCAACGCAGAAACCAGCTATCCGAGCGAGTGAATTAAACAATCAACGAGAGATCGAACCACTTTCTCCCAACCGATCTTAAACTTCCTTGAACCCCACGAAGGATTGATGAATGCTAATAGATAGGTGCTGGGTCTGGGCACCCAGAACGTTCATTAAACATACACTCAGTTGATCGGTGAAATCATAGAATGCGCAAGCACAGCGCAGCATTGGAGACTTTTCCACACATGCACACACACGCAACGAAAAAGCTGTAAACAAGTGCGCATGGGCAAGCCATACACTTCTGCGCTAGCCGCAGTTGGGTGAACTCACGCGGTGATTAATATGATTATTCGGATCGGGTCCCTGGCGATGGTGATGGCGAACATAGACAGCGCCGGTCCGAAACCGATCAGGGCGCAACCGATGAACTCCATGAGCGTCATGACTCCACTGGCAGTCCGACAGCAATGCAAGAGCGCGTCAAAGCTGCACACGAACACGGCCGCACGGTGCTGCGGCCCGATAAATATACTGTGAGCGTAACAAGTCCGCGGATGACACAATCTACAATAATTAAATAAACTATCTACAATAACTGGCCGCTGCACCATTCACATGAAGACGGAATGGGAGGCGGAAACGAAACGAACGCAGTTTGTACATCGCCATTGACAGCAAGGTACTGATGATTTCATCGCCACCGCTTGCAGCGATCCTGGCCGCTGTCTGTACAAACAAATAAATCTTGATATTATGCCCCCAAACACGGACGGTTCAAAGAAGGAAAACTCCTTCCGCGAGACCTCATTAAAATTTTATGATCTAGTTTTAGGTTTGTTTTTGAGTCCTCTGCACATTATGGCATAATCATTCGAAAGACGTAATAAAAAAAAAATGAATGCATTCAAGTAGCCAAAGGGAGGTAGGGGGGATGTGTGGGGGGGGGGGGGGGGGGGCTTTGTAGCAGTGTTAGAGGTGTGCGCCGAGGCGATTTCGATCGGCGGCGGCGTGGGGGTCGCTGAGAGTCGGCGGCGTCTAGAGTGCCTCGATGCGCGCGCCCCCGCTCAGCGGAGCGCGCGGGCATTAAGGCACCCTAGCGGCGTCGTCGGCGCACGCCAATTATTTCATCGGCGGCGGCGCGCGGCCAATTTTCATCGGCGGCGGCGGCGCTGGCGGCGTGGAAACCGAAACTAAACATTCAAAAGGTTCTTCTGCCAGAGGTTACTGAATTAGTTGAAATTCAGGGATTTTCATCCAAATAACACTAATGACACTACACAAATGTGTCGACATCACGATGAATTCTAAGCGTTTTGAAAAATAGTTTTTACTTCGCTTTCGTAATAAAATACGCGTATTTCAATATATGTCCATGTTCTACCACGAATGTGTAGCACTTTGCTTGTTTTTTTTTAAATTTAGGATGCAGCAGTTTGTTTCTGTTGCTGGCTACGTCATACTTCATGAAACCTTCTTTCATTGAACATTGAGCAAGCACCGACGCACGTCGCTCCGTTCGCTTTTTCCGAATCGGATCTCACTTTTACATTGTACGCGTCACGAAAAAAGAAGCACCTCTGCTACGAGTTTTTTTTATTGCGATTGCAGTAAACCGCTCTTTTGAGTATCTGTCAGGCCTTGAATTTTACTTTCCTTCAAACAAATCGATATACAGTCGACTCCCGTTAATACGAAGTTCACGGGAACCGCAAAAAGCTTCGAATTAAACGAACTTCGAATTAAGCAAAAAAAAAAAAAACTAAAAACGGCACTTTTATTAGTTTAAAAGCGCGATATTTTGAGAAAAAATAGTCTGTCATCTTCTTCTGCTTGCCGAATCTGGCTGCGGCTAGCAAGTTTTGTAAGGAATACACGTGTCGAAGTGCTTCTTCGGCGTTGTGTTCTCCAACAAAAAACCGCTGCGCAAGAGCAAGACCCGCAGCTACATCGGCAGCCCTCGGTGGTGGCTCATTTCCGATGTCGTCGTCATCATCGTCATTTTCAGGAATGCAGTCATGGGGCCGAACCATCTGCACGATTTCGCTGTTTGTTAGTGGACCGCATGTTTCGACGTTGCCGTCCACAGCGACATACTCGTCAAAACGGACGTCACCGAGAGCGGCGCGAAAGCTACCGTCGTCGAGCTCATTTGTTTGCACTTCCACTGGCGCACAAGGAGAAGCATCCCCCGAGTTTTCCATGAAACCACAGGCCCGGTGAAGTCACGGCAAAAGCGATGACGCTTTTGCCGTGACGACTTCACCACTGAGAGGAAGTTTGTCGTTTCGTGCCTCTCTGATCCAAATCAGCAGTGCTTCCTCCAACTCTGGGTAGGCGCCGGTGCGCATCCGCTTCCGCGATGTCTTGAACTTTTTACTTTCAAACGCATCCAATATTGAGCGCTTATTCTTCATGAAAGTCGACAGCGTGTTAGGCTTAATGCCGTACTTTCTTGCAATGTCTTGTTTGGCGGTGCCTCCTTGGTCAACTTCCTTCAAGACTTCGACTTTCTTCGCTAGGTCTAGCGTTCGGTAAGGGCCACGAGTTGCCATTATCAAACGTACGTCACCACCACAACACTCAAAATCAGAAGCACGGCAACACGTGTGGAATCAACCCAGCGCGCGGGTGACGCGGTGACACACTCGAGTCTCGACAAAAGTCAACTAAAGAGTCAGTCGATGCCGCCGATGTGATTCGCCAGCGTTAAAAAGATTGCCGCTTCAAAATTTGTGGCGCTGCGGACAGTAGTGATGGCAAAGACACCAGCGCGGTTCGGCAGATGATGTTTTGGCATATGAAAAGTTCCCCGTTTTACTGTAAAATTACGGTCGCGACGAGACTGTCGATTGAAAAAACTTCTAATTAACCAATAGTATGGGTTCTTAACTTCGAATTATCGAGCATTTTTTTCTGTACGATTGCATGCAAAACTGATGGGACCACTTGCTCATTTCTAATTAACCGAAACTTTTAATTAAGCGACTTCGAATTACCGGGAGTCGACTATACCTACTTTTCACAATATGAGAATGTTTTATGTAGCGGTATAAGATGCGGAAGAAAACAAATCTGTGCATTCAGTCAACTAGTCCTCACCGCAGTATTCAATGAATGAAGTGTATACACGGGCGTGGCCGAGGCGGGTGGTGCAAAAGGGGCACTTGACCCCTTCAAGCCGCACCAGCACTTGCTACCCACTCTAGCGACACCAGCACGACTCCCCTCCCTCAGCCATGATGCAAGTTGAAAGAAGGATTTGCTTACCCGCAAGACAAAAACCTGTTGATGGCCATATGTGCAAATGAGAACAAATGCAATATTTGCTCAGATACACAGTCCATACTGGTCACGACCTGGAGGCCCGTTGACCACGCCTGCAGAGAACGTTGACTCCCCGACCCCTTTGTGCTCGGTCAGGGGAGGGGAACGCCCCTTGCAAGTGGGCCCCATTAAAAATTCTCTTAAAAACGTCACAAATAAAAATGCTTGATAAGTATGTATAAAACATTCAACTTTTTAATGCTTTTTGTAGCGTGTACACGTGCTCAATACCCATCAGGTGTGTGAGACAATTGAAATCGCAACTGCCACTCTCGACTGGTTCCGGAAAAGACTCAATAGAAGAATGCAATTGCGAGTGCTGGGAATCTACATTCGTTTGTCAATTTGATTATTAGGCATGATTTTAATTCTTATATAAACAAAAATAAAACCTGCAAAATATTAAAACAATATGGCTGCTATTGCAAGATGTGTGTCCACCTTAATGATTTTTCTAGACTTACGCGTCTGCAAGCCACAGCTGGTGTCACAAACTTGCAAGTGCCCCCCCCCCCTCCCCACGACATCTCCCAATACCCCCCTCTCCAATAAAAAGGCACCAATGTAGTCCTCCGTAGGCCTCCGTGATTGCATACTGGCGCACGGCGGGCCATTTCGATTGCTAGGACCAACAGTACCGATTTCTACATGCTTTATTGAAGGTGTTGAAGGATCAAGAAAAGGCCGATTGTTGTATATTTCCTGAGAGTTCAATAATAGCTCCTTTGTGAGTACCGTATATTATTAAACCTCACTTTGTGTATAATGCTCCAATGAAAAAAAAAATAAGGTTTCACCCTGGGTCACTGCAGAGTCAGAAGCCATCACATGGGCAGGCGTCATTAAGCCTCTATATAACATTGCTAAGGTTCAGCACATTTGTACAAAACATTCTCGTTGAATAAACATTGGGTATATTTCTTGTTTGGGTTAGTATGTGTGAAACATAAATTTGAAATTCTCATTGTGGGTTTCTGCAGCAAATGCACATTGATTAAAACTGATGATTCCGGAGCTACGGCAGAGGTAACATTCGTTATGTGTTTTCGGTTACGGTAATGGTAATGCGTTACCTTTTTTATGTATATATATAACGTGGAGCCGTGAAACGTTCCCTTTTTTATTAGAGTAACGAGTAACGTATTTAGTTCCTTCTTACTGTAACGGATACAACCCTAAATATATAGACTTACAGGAGTGATGTCGGCCCACACCGTCAGTTGTGGTTGCGGTCTATAGGCGGGCTGTAAACATTACATAGATATATTCCTTTCATCCAGCACGTGATAGTGAAGGTTTGCTCGACCATTGACAATCTCGACCTTTAAGGAATACACAACAGCTTCTTAATAATATGCATATAATCCAACCGAAGCGTGCACTTTGTTTCGCTAAAGTTTACAGTCAACGTGAGTGCTGTCGTCACGCCGTATGTTTTAGGTACTAGAATCTTAGCCTACTCGAAATACCCAAAGACGTCGATCCACCTATAGCAACGCGTGGCTACCCGCTGACGGTTCTGTATGAAAATAGCATCCACAGTGGAACCTGTCGCATCTGCTGAAATTTTATCGCAACATTATTATACTGCCACTTCGCTTGTATTTTTATGTCACTGCCTAGCGCAAAGACACCGCCATTGTGGTTCAGTAGCTAAGGTACTCGGCTGCTGACCCGCAGCTCGCGCGATCGAATCCCGCCCGTGGCGGCATGATTTTTGATAGAGGCGAAAATGCTGTAGGCCCATGTGTTCAGATTTGGGTGCATGTTAAAGAACCCCAGGTTGTCATAATTTCTGGTGTCCTCCACTTCGGCATCTCTCATAATCATATGGTGGTTTTGAAACGTTAAACACCACATATTAATCAATTGCCTTGCGCAAAGCACGCTTGGCTGTCTGCGAAAATTCTAGATTATTTTAGAATCTTCTTATAAGCTTGAGACACTACAATACGGATGATGTTCCATGCCACGGGCATATATGGCGACGTACCTTCACGCAGATCATATTGCCGACGACCAATGCTCTAATTACCGCTATCTGCGCAAAGCGTGAATTTCTAGTACTTTGTACTTTTCTAGGCACACGTTCACGAAATAAAAAGTGTCGTCTTGAGCAACCCAAGTACCATATTCTTTGCCGTCGCAACCACGTGGCAATATGGTGAGATGAGAACGGTGAAATGATTGATACAAAACAGTCAGTGCACGGCCAAGTTTTATTTAAATGCGTATACCACAAGCTATTTTCTTCTATAGA